ATTGTGTAATAATAGTCACAAAAATTTACTTTTAAAAAATGAAGAAAAAATTTAAATGTTCTTATTTATTTTTTTTAATCTTCTCCGGATAAGTATTAGTTACTTAGTTGAGTTCTAACTATAAAAATTTTAAAAAAAAGTAAAAACCTAAAACCACTTCAACGCAGATGGGATACCGGTATCCCTTTTACAGGAAAGCTGACTAGAAATGTAAGAAGTGATAAAACTTCCATTTATTTTTTATTTATTTAATACATATAATTATTCACTCACATCAATTATTCAGCATGACATATATTGTAAACTACTCAAAAGTAAATTTAAAAAATTGCATTCTCTTTCAATAGGCAACTCGTTGAACGGCATTGCGGTCACCGGTGTCCCGCACTTAGTTTGTTCATAGCACCACAGGGGTCACCGGCGAAGCCAGGATTATTCGAAACACATAAATCGAGTAAATGTTTAATTTTTTCGTATTATTATTGTTACTAAATAGGTTTGAAGAAATTAATGCGATGTAGAACACGCAAAAATAGTTTTATTTATATACACAGAGATGCCAACTTGTTCCGATAGCGAATAAATGTTTTCAAGTGGTAGCTTATTAATTGTGATTCTTGGTTTAATAAATTTAATTTAGTAGATTTTTATTCATCACTATTTCTAAACAGTTCGTACGTTTATATAATTTATAATTTTTTAGTTATGTTATGCTAAACCTTTTAAAAAACTAGCAAAATCTGTCTAATATTTGCAAATTTAGTTTGTAGTTATTTACCGTTTGGTCAGACAAGCAAGCTATGTAAAATTAGCGGGGTATTCAACGTGTTAGCTAAAAGAAGTAAGCCAGAAAAAGTTGCTTATTTTAATGTCTTTAAATAGATTTTTGATTTTATTCAATCACTACTTTTTACATTTTTAGTCGCCTGTGGTATCCTTGCTTCATTATCTTTTTTTTTTTTTTCATGACGCTCTTATTACAAGCAAAAATAAATCTGTGTATTTTTTAATTGTAAAACCCAGTCTAACTAAAAAAAACAGAATATCGAAATTATATTTGTACTAAAATTTAAAATCCCAAAAAAGTAGTTTGAAAAAAATAGTGCGTGGAGTCCGTCCGCGCGGAAGAAGTTAAACTTCGCAACCTGTGACGTTAATTGTAAAAGAATCAGCAGTCGTAGAAGGATCACTAGTTCTATTCAACGACTGATGTATGTGAATGTGACTGATGTATTGTCGACTAATGTATGTGAATGCGTCATAATGTAATTTCAGAAGAGATAACAATCAATTGATATTCACAAGAGACGTTAATTGACATAACCTTAAATCCGTTGCATTGTCCGTGGGATTGTTTTCCACTAAATTTGAAAATAAAAAATACTATCCTATTAAATTATATGTGTATTGAGTATTGAGTATAGTAAACTGCGGCGTGCTCTCTGCTTTCGTTTATAGCACTGCGTTTCAATAGGTAAGGCTTAATTTAGTCTAACATTGTATATTAACATTATATAATATTATATGTGTATCAAAACAAAATAAAAAAATATTTATAGAAAAACAATACTTTTATGACTTTTATTATTTTTATGCAAGTGAGAACCAAAACAATATGGAAATGAATGAGGGAAAACTGGATTTCTACCACGTGATTTCCCGGCCAATAAAAATGTAGCGTTAAACGTTTAACGCAACCTTGTTGGAAGTCGCATAGGAAGTATAACTTCAAAAAAAACTTTTTTTCATTCTTATTTAAAGGTTTATCAATGAGTGATTTTAGACGTTAAAAGAAATTTCAAAAATGAAAAACTATTTTTCTTAGATCTAAGATAATTGTAAATTTAAAAAAAATTCTTGTTTGAAAGACTTTACCTTTAATACAGAAAAAGAGATCGATGATCCATGCTGTATTTCATAACCAGGATTTTTTTAAATACTAATTAAAATATGCTTTATTTGTTTGGACCTAAATTAATTCAAAATAATGTAGGAAAAATGTGTTTAATAAAAATTCTACGTCAGAAAGTTAATATTTTATTTTCATTGCCAACATGGACGTAAACTTCACGGTTATCATTAGTTTTTACAATTAAAATATATAGGTTTACGGGTTCATGAAAATCTTGCGTACTGCTCAAAGAGTTTAGATGGATGTTATTCATATGCATGTAGACATATTTTAGCATACAATAAATGTTCATACATTGTGAATTATTTTCATCTTTCAGGAGTAAACTCGTAGATGAAAATGCGGAAATTTTTTTTTAATTTGTAATACAGCTGACTAAAATGATGTAGTGGCATTTCTTTCATAAATTTTTTTCTTTATTTATGCATTTTTTTTCTAGTAATTATGCAATTGCATACATATTTATGTCTAAGATTTACATGTGTTAATTATAAATAATGAAAATAATAATAGTCAGGATAAAGTTTTTCATTCAATGTAACTGCGCAATTTTATGTTATTTTTACTCAGTTTCAATCATAAATGTACCGGTTTGAGAACATTTTTAAAAAAATGCCTTCCATAATTGTTATTATTTCTTTCTTTTTTTTCAGGAATAATATCTGAATGAAAATATGATGCATAAAGTAGAAGTACGACGTGAGTATTATAACTCGTGATTATTTTAATTCTAACATTTATAATATTTATGAAACATTTCGTTATGATAAGTTCTATCAAAAGTATATATAGCGTTAATAGTACACAATTTAAAAGGTAGAGTAATAAGCAATGACTCTTAACCTATGAAAAACATCAATGTAGGGAATACCGGGTTGGTACCGGGAAATGTCTGCAAGTTCTGAATTGAGTTTCGATTCAGAACTTGCAAAAGGTTTTTTTCCTCGAGTTGACGACAGCATTCACCCTTAAGTTAAATGAGAAAAATTGTCAGCGTCTTATAAAAACGGAAGTGCGGAAAATACCTCGGTACAACTTCAACTCAGGGAACATAAGTGTTACGTCAAAACCCAGGAACCCAGTGACACACACATTTCCGGGTTTTATTTCGGTTATACCACGTAGACAACACTTCGGTAACACCCACGTCCTTAAATAAATGTGTTAAAAATGCACATTATCAACATTGCCCGATATTCCTCATGCTGACATTTTTTTTTGTGTTTCGAGCCATTTCCCAGTACATACCCGGTATTCCCCACATAGATGTTTTTTTTTGTTTTTGTTTTTTTTGGATAAGAGTCGTTGCTTGATATTCCCTATATTGACGTTTAAGGTTAAAAGCCATTGCTTAGTGCCAAGGCGCACCTGAGCGGTCTGGGTCCAAACAAGCATAATTACCAATGAATTCATTAAAATTGAGATTTAGTGCAATTTGAAAATAGAAAAGTCTATTAAATCATATTCGTTTACTAAGCCGCATATAAAATATATCCTCAACCAATTTAAAACCTCTTCAAAAAAGACAGTTTCGTTCTATTCCAAAAATAAGTTAACACGTAGAGCGCCGCGTCAGCCATCGGTGGCTGACACTGACTTTCCATTTAGGCTGCGTCTGCCACCGCTTGCTGACACTGACCTTTCACATAGGCCGCGAAAAACAGCTGACTGACAGCGTATAACATGATATAGAACTATAAAATTTACTTTCTTTTNAAAAAAATATGTATTAATTACTTCTTCGTCTAAACCTGTTAAAAATTAGTAAACTTCATGGCCTGTAAATACGTCATTAAATAGTTATTATGAATCTGTTGGTGGCTCTTCGCGCCAAATACCAAGCTCCCACCAATATCCAGCATTCAGCTTCTACATCAATTAAGTTACGGAGTTGCCAACTGCTCCGAACAAGCCAAAATAAATAAAAATACGGTAAATAACTACAAAGTAAATTTTGCAAATATATGACTATTTTTGCTTGCTTTTTAAAGGGTGCAGCATCACATAGATACTATAAAAAGGTGAATTATATAAGCCTACGAATTGTTTAGAAATAGTGGTGGATAAAAATCTACTAAATTAATTTTATTAAACCAAGAATCACAATTGATAAACTACCACTTTAAAATATATATTTGCTGTCCGAGCAAGTTGGCATCTTTGAAGTTATTAATTACGCAGCGAACGTTTTAAAATTAAGCATATTGAATGGAGCTGTCAACCTTAGAAAACTAAAGAACTAGCAGCAAAATTTCTTAATTAACAATCAAAACTCATCTGTTTACCTCAACAAGTTTTTAAATAAATTATTTCTGTAAGGGAATCACTGCAAATGTTTTCTGTTCTCATAATATTAAATTGGAAAGGTAAAACGGTTAGTTTACAAATGGCCGTATAGAAATTTTATTACCAGTTTTTTAGTTTCACGAGGACGCTGGTTTCATTACCTTAGATAGCTATTTATTAATAAGTCAAAGATGTACTATGATAGTGCACCTGCAGTATAAGTTAATTGTGTAATAATGGTCACAAAAATTTACTTTTAAAAAAAAATGAAGAAAAAATTGAAATGTTCTTATTTTTAATCTTTCCCGGATATTAGTTACGAGAGTTCCAACTATAATAATTTTAAAAAAAAGTAAAAACCTAAAACCACTTTAACTCAAATGGGATACCAGTAACCGGTATCCCTTTTATAGGAATGCCGACTAACAATGTAAGAAGTGATAAAATTATTTTAAATTTATTTTATTAATAAATTTAATTTTTATTTATTTAATTTATATAATTGTTCAATCATACTTACCAGCATGACATACATTGTAAATTACTCATAATTAAACCGAAAATGATGTTGCGTTCTCTTTCAATTTTAAACATTTTTTTCCTGCAATTATGCAATTGCATATTTATGTCTAAGATTTACATGCGTTAATTATAAACAATAATAATAATCGGGCTAAAATTTTTCGTTCAAAGTAACTGCGCAATTTTATGTTATTTTTACTCTTTCAATCATAGATGTACCGTTATGAGAACATTTTTAAAAAATTGCATTTCATAATTGTTATTATTTCTCTTTTTTCAGGCTATAATATCTGAATGAAAATATGATGCATAAAGTAGAAGTACGACGTGAGTATTATAACTCGTGATTATTTTAATTCAATTAAAATGATAAACTCCATGAAAAGTATATATAGCGTTAATAATACACAATTTAAAAGGTAGACAAGTAAGCAATGGCGTTTAACCTTTAAAAAACGTCAATGTAAGGAATATCAAGCAATGACTCTTTACCTATTACATTTAGGCAGCGTCAACCACCGGTGGCTGACACTGAAATTACATTTAGGCCGCTTCAACCACCGGTGGCTGACACTGAAATTACATTTAGGCTTCCACCGCTTGCTGACACTGACCTTTCACATAGGCCGCGAAAAACAACTGGCTGACAGCGTATAACATGATACAGAACTATAAAATTTACACTCTTTTAGGGAATTGCAGAAAATTTATTCAAAATTTACTTAATTATTGTGATTCTTGGTTTAGTAAATTAAATATAGTAGATTTTTATCCACCACTATTTTTAAACAATTTGTCGGCATATATAATTCACCACTTTTTACAGATACGTCATGTTAAACCAATTATAAACTACCAAAATCTGTCTATATTTGCAAATTCAGTTTGTAGTTCTTTACCGTGTGGCCAGACGAGCAGGCCATGTAAACTTAGCGTGGCATTCAGCGTGTTTACTTAAACTAGAATTAACTTTCAATATTTTAACGCAACTCTCCCTGCTGTAAACATAAGAAGCAATTATTTTTATGTACTACATAATTACAACTTTTACATTTTTCTAGCAAACAAGCCGAGGGATGGCCGCCATTGTGATCTTTGTGGATGTTCGCAACCTGCTGTCAGATGCGACAAATGCGGCTGCCAAATATTTTGTCTGTCGTGCGATGACATGTACCACAGACATCCAAAAAGACGATTCCATCTCAGAAAAGCTGTGGATCCAACGCCACCCACTTCACAGGCACGGCCTGTTTTGCCTATGAAGGTGGCCCATTTGGCTACCTCTCCTGGTGACCCTTCGAAAATGCCATTGCCACCACCCAGGAAGAAGAAACCAGGAAAGTCATTTTTTGACACTTTCAGGCGCCCGAGTCCATCTTCAGATGTAAGTGTTTCTATCAAACATCTCCTAAACATTTATTAATTTGCTAAAAAAGGAAGGCAAAGCATCATCAATTTTTAAGGACAATTTAAAAACTAATATATTATTTAATAGATTATTTCATGGATTTTATAAATTACATTAGGTTGTTATCAAAAAAATGCATTCCTTTGTTATTCACTAAATTCATCGTCGCTTATATTCAAACTTATAACACTGAAAAACAATTCATTTTTGTTTTGCTTTCTGTTCTTCCAGATTTATGAATGGATCTTAAATATTTTCGCGTCTCATTTCAAAAATGCAATGAGTCTCTCTCTACAAGCTACGATTTCTGAGCAACTTAATGATTTATCCCTAACTTGCAGTTTTTAAAAAGTGCAACTTTGTAAAATTCTCTCGAGTGAATACAAAGTGCCCCCGCTTCTCTGCAACGTAGAGAGTGGTAGGAAGAAGGTAATAACATATTTCAATTTATGATGTGATACATCAAGAAGTCATATGTTTTTTTTTTCCTCTTAAGTGTTATTTTCAAAGGAGCTGACTAGTGCATATTCACATAACGTAACCTATACATAACCTATATGTTCTTTTTAAACTAACCTAAATGTTCTTTTTAAACTAACCTTATGTTTGTTCGTAAACCTGTAAGTTCTTTTTAAACTTGTACATTCAGACAAAAACTAAATATATCATTTTAAAGAAACTGTAGCTCTTAAAACGAAACTAATTTCAAATTTAAATCCTTGTGACCAAATCAGATAAAATCAAGTCCTTGTCTAAACGCAACAAAAAATGCATTCTCCAGTGTAATTGATCTAAGAGAATAAAAGCAATAAGCAACATTTTAGTGAATTTGAGTAAGTTAGCTTTAAGCTTAAACGTTATGAATGATCTTTATTACTTCAACACTCGTTATAAATTATGAAACTTAGAGCTGATACTGGTTCACCACTTCAAATTAAAGTGAACGCACAAATTAGTAGTGACCATAACGACATAAGAGAGAAATTGTATGTTTACATTTATTGAAGAAGAGGATATAAAGACAGAAAATAGAAACTCGCGTAGACTAACGACACTGGGAATGACACTAACTCGATGACTTTCAAAATCAGCTAAACAACTGAAAGCCTCCACACGGATTTTTGTAGGTAGTCTGACCTGACTACTATGACGGTAAACAAGTTTACGAGAAGAACGTTTAATACAGAATTTAGTAAAAATAAGATAGTAGTAGCAAATATATGTCTAAATTTTTTTAAATTTATGAATATGATTGGTTAGTCTTATTTATTTGCCAACCACTACAGATTCAATTCTCAAATAAATATGATAAATTTCCCTCGATTACTTTTAAATTTGTAAATAGTGTAAATATTCTTTCTTTATCTTCAATTTGTTCCCTTTATTATGTATCAACTTGAGATTTATTTTTATGTATGACTCAGACTTGATTTTATCAATTATTGTTCATTCTGAGATATAACTTAATGTTAACGCAGTACCTCCCTTCCCTTCCACCACATATTCTTCAATTTAGATGAAAGAGCAGATATCCATACATGGATAGGTACTCTGAAAAACTTGATTAGTTAGTTAGTTAGTACTTTTAAAAAAAGATTTTCGAATCATGTGCACAACTGGTTATAAAAAGCCATGTGGAGGCTTTCTGATGTAGAAGGTAATGACTTAACAGTGATTAATCGACCATTCTGCCCCTTGGGAGAAAAACGTGCAACCACCAAAAACCAAGTGAAAGCTAAAAGATCCTCATACATAAATAAAAATAATAATTTGGCTCGTAACGTCAGTAAATCAGGGTTTTTGATGTCAACAATAGGCGAAACTTTTGAACTGTACAAATCACGTAGCATTTGCCCTCTATGCGCTTTTATTCGATACCAGAAAAAAAGCAACTTTCCAAAGTTTTTCGTCGATTGTTTGTTCTTAAACATGTTTGGAACCTTCCTCAAAACCGAAAAGACCGACAGAGTAACTTCAACTATTGAGATATGTATGACAAAATAAATTAATGTTGCATTATTAAACAAACTAAAGATATTTCTTTCTCAAATGTAATTTTTTTAGCGTCGTAGAAAGCCTTCATCCACTAAAATCGTTTTCCTCAGCTTTTCTTTCTTATTTTAAAATAGTTAATTTAAACAATTAATACACGGATTAGTTTGCTGAAAAAAGAACAATATTTGGTTAGATAGATAAATAAATACTGTAAAAAAATTTTAAAAAAAAGCCCCTCAAAGTTTTAAGACTTTAATTTTGAAACTTTTACCCTCAAGATTTCGAAACATATAAATAATTATTGTGCTGTCTAGTAAGGACTTTATCGAAAGCAGCTAAATAATACGTTGAAAAACGAATCTAAGTTTATAATAAATGTATATAACAGTTCTTTTCTTCATTTTAGCACAGTCCACCTCTTCCTAAAAAGGAATATTCCTGGACAGATCGACTTGGGAGTATAAAAAAGTTCATGAGCAACAGACCTTTACCTCCACTCCCTGCAAACGATTTAGAAGAGAATAATATTCAGTTAACAGGTGTAACGCAGAAACACGATCTTTCATTCATTCACAAAAGAGGTAAATTTTACTGAATATTCAAAGTTTTCACCTTATTATATTAAAATCGCGATATTTATCATTATTATTAAATTTTCTTTCCCAAATAGTGTAACAAAACTTTTAGCAACCAAAAAATTTTATTGCTAATATGTTTGCTATGGATTCTTTTTTCACTATTATATTAATGAGTGAGCGATTTTATACTTATTTATTCCACTAACTAAAAAATAATAATTAATGAACCATTTTTTAAACAAATATAAAAATAAATAAATAAATTTACAGTTAAGATGAAGACATCATTTTTCATTATCCCATGAACCGAATAACAAATAATTTGTTGACGGGCAAATTTCGTCGAATACTAAATAGAAATAGAATATTCTGGCAGCCGTTCTGGGAGTCGTTTTAGGAAGTCGCTCCTAGTTAATAATCCATTAAAAAAAATCATAAATAAAAAAAGCTGTAAAGATCAGATTATTCTACTCACAAATGTCTTACCACTTTTCACATATAGGATTTTTTGAGGGGCCATAAGAAAATTTTTTGCATTTTCACAGCAGTAATCAGATAAAGTTACTGATCTGACTACTGCTGTAAAGTAACTTGAGTTAACCAATTAACCAATAAGTTAAACCAATCGTGTTATCATCATGCATTTTTAAACATGTTTAATTCAATTACATGTAGAGCTAAACCAAAATTATTTTGAGTTAAATTTAGAAAAAAGAAAAAATTAAAATGAAACAGCATAAATTATTCTACCACTTCAAATTTAAAAAAAAACTCGAATTTTCATTCCAGTTACTAGAAAATACTACCTAAACGTCATTAACTACAAGATGGAAGGGAAGAGAGTCGAAAGCAGATTTTGGTGCCGGAATAAATATTGATGATTATGTTTAGAAACTCAAATAGTCAGTTTTTTCTTGTTAGATTCCTTTTTACATTCTTAGGTTAGATTCCTAATATACGTTGCTAGATCAAATTTCATTTAATTATTCCGAATCCTCTATAGATATGTATCACATAGGTAATTTTTTCAGGCAGTGGAAACCAAGCGAAATTTGTTTTGGGTGTCATGGAGATTAACCCCTTGGGGACGGTTGATTCAGAAAAGCATGCGTACAAAATCAGAATCAAGTTGTAATTAAATAAAAAACGGTAGCTTAAATGTAATCGTTGCTAATTTGACAGACTTACTTTGCTTTTACTTTAATTATTGTTAGTTTAATCATATATATAATCAATGTTAATTCAAAGTATAACTAAATAGTTTTATTTTGAACAAAGTAATGGTGAATTAAATAAATCAAACAATTATAACTCCTCCCACAAAAACAACTGCTAAAGAATTACTTTGATTACCAGTTTTATCTTTTAACCCTGATTGATACGGTTTTATGCTGGCACGTATTTGTGACAGTCGGTGCGGAAGGGTTAAGACTCCACTATTTCGTGAATAACAGCATGATTGTGGCAATGTGGTCAGTTTTGCGTTCAGGCCACCTTTACCTCCCATCCAAGCTGGTACAAATTGATCTGAAGCTGGGTGACATCAAGCCGCCACTGTGGATCGAACCCCAGTTCTTCATAACGGCACTGAGGCAACGAGATGGATATGTGGCTTACTAAAATATTTAGATATAGGTTTCGAAGAAAAAAAACGTAGTTTTTGTGATTCAATCTGAAATAATTCTTCTCTTTATTAAATTCAGAGAAATTTAAAATCTAGGATGGGCTTTAGAGTGTATAAATTAAAAATAGAAATCTGATGTTTCTCTTTTCTTTCTTTTCATATATCTATTCATTCTTACTACTTAAATTTTTCATTTTAGTTGACGAAAAGCCCCCTCAACTTCCACAACGTAGTTATAAGCAGCCACAGGAATTTTTTGGGGGTATTGAAGAAAAAGAAAACCATTCCCATGGTGAAAATGGTATAGATGTAAGTATATTATTTAACTATTTCAAAGTAATTATCTATTTTCAAATTATATATATATGCTACAGTTTAAACTCGAAAGCGTTTAATATGCCAATCTGCAGAATAACTAAAACAATCCGTTAAAGACCGTAATCAACATTTTCCAACAATATACCAAAGTAATATGCACATTAAAGGTTTCCATATCGTTAAGGTTCAAGAGTTTGTTTGTTATGATATCGATTAATATGTTGATTGTAATTATCGATTGGAATATTTCAATAATGGCGTATAAATAAATGATATATTGTTAATTTATTTAATTGTAATAATATTTTAAACCATTTGATTCTTTATATAATATATTTTAAAGCGATTGAAGATTGATTCATTCAACTAATGTGTTGATTGCTTGATTGTGGGCTCTTGATTTTTTAAAAAGCAAAAAATAATAATTATCCTTTGGTTAAATTACGTATGTTTGATGACGTTCGAGAGCCACAAATAATCCATCAAAGAGCCGCATGTGACTCGTGAGCTGCGGGTTGGCCACCCCTGGCCTATAAAGTAATGTGCATAGTGTTTAGAAAACTTAGTTCACATGCCAATTTTCTGGCACATAAATGGATTTATATATATTTACTTATTTACGTATGCGAAAAGGTTTTATAACTTTTCTCCGAGTATATATTAATTAATAAATTAATGAAAGATAATAAACAGTGTTTATATTTAACATTTTGCTTTTCGTTCGTTCGCTGAAACTTAATATTTTTATATCATAATAATTAATTACCACACTGTTTTATGAAAATAATATCAATACACTCTAATAATTTTATTCGATTTTATTACAATACGAGATTACAATATAGAATTTATATAAAAAATGCTGAACAGTGAAGTTGAAATTATTTAATGCTTATATATTAGTTTAAATAGCGTATTACTATATTAGGAGTACAAGAGGTTAAAACTAATTCTATCTACTCGTTTTTGAAATTAAACTTCGTTCCGTTTTTTAGTTTTGTAAGCTATCGCGAGCGGTCTTGTGGAAAAATATCTTCACATGTTTATTTATTTACATTTCTTTTAAGAAAAATGACTTTAGTCTAACACTGTTACATCACTATTTTATTAAATCTACTCTGTATTAAAATGTGTAAGTAACTGATATAATAACGCTTTACAGATTAGAAATGGTTCTGTTCATGGACCACCTGTTCAGAGAAATGGAGGTTTCAGTTCCCCAGAAGATAATCAGTGGACAAATAGAAAAAATGAAAATCAGTTTCCTCGCCAATTACACACCCTGGACAACAGGCAAAACCATCCAGGATTTGTGCAACAGGGCGGGTATGTAGTATACATTATACAACAGTCTACAACAGGAGAACAATTTTGTTAAATTAATAAAAATAGCAATTAATGTTTTTCTTAACTCCTGGTCTACAAAAAACAGGAAAAAAGCTCCTTTTTTTATAAGTATTTAAGAGATTTGCGATTTTAAAATGAACCGAGCCTAACCTAAATGTCGATACATTTTGTAGATCTATAGACCTATAGACTCTGTCTGTAGAATGTCTGTCTGATTCTCACATAATTTTAAAATTAAAGTAGATAAGTTTAACGTTTAAATTTTTTATATCGAAATCTACTACGTCTAAATTGCTCTTTAGGATTCGCTGTAATATTATGTAATCTACTGTTTCAGACCTGGATATCCACACAATTTTAACCAACCACTTCACCAGAGCATCAGTTCGACAGATCTGCAGAGTCTACCAGGCATGGATGGACATCCAACAATGCCACCACACTATCCTCATTATCCTATGAATGCCCCTATGCCTCCTCATTATCCTTACCCCATGTATCCTCAGTATCCTAATTATCCTCCTTATTTCGGAAATTCTTTTGCAAACCTCTCAAGTCAACCTAATACAGAAAATGACTTCAGTGATAATTCAGAGGCCTCGTCCAGACAACACGGAGGAAGAAGATACCCATTCCGTAAAAAAGCCAAGCGTAGTCAGAGTGTAATGGTTGATAGAATGGGTTATCCTGGTAAGTTGCTCCAAGGGCTACACGATCTTTGAATATTTTAATCTATTAATCAATTTAGAGACATATATTCCGTAAAAAGCTAAGCGTAGTCAGAGTGTTAGGGTTGTTAGAATGGGTTATCCTGGTAAGTTACACCAAGAACTACACGATATTTGAATATTTTGCTCTGTTAATTAATTTAGGAAAATTTATTCCGTAAAAAAAGCCAAGCGCAATCGGAGTGTAAGGGTTGATAGAATGGGTTTTCCTGGTAAGTTATTCCAAGAGATACACGATCTGTGAATATTTTGCTCTGTTAATCAATTTAGGGAAATTTATTCCGTAAAAAAGCCAAGCGTAGTCGGAGTGTGATGGTTGATAGAATGGGTTATCCTGGTAAGTTACTCCAAGAGCTACACGATCTTTGAATATTTTACTCTATTAATCAATTTAGAGAAATTTATTCAGCAAAAAAAGCCAAGCGCAGTAGGAGTGTAAGGGTAGATAGAATGGATTATCCTGATAAGTAACTCCAAGAGACACACGATCTGTGAATATTTTGCTCTATTAGTCAATTTGGAGAAATTTATTCCGTAAGAAAGCCAAGCTAGTTGGAGTGTAAGCGTTGATAGAATGGGTTACTATAATAGCGATACGATCCATGAATGTTTTACTTTGTTGATCAAGTAAAGGATATTTTAATATATAGAGTTCTATTGTTTTTATCAATGAAATTTATTAGTTTAAATATTGTGTACACCAATCCGTAAAAATACTAAGCTTAGTCAGAGTGTTATGGTTGATAGAATAGGCTATGTCGATAAGTTACTTCAAAAGTTACATGATTGTTGAATATTTTACTCTGTTAATAAATTCAGGTGTATTATAATAAAGCAAGCTTTATCATTTTTAGCAATGAAATTTATCAATTTAGCTATAATATCGTTCAATTTAGTAATTCGTTTCCATAAAATATACCAGGCATTAACAAAATGTTTTATGGTTAATAGAATAGATTAAGCTAATCGGTGTTTGAATATATTGCTCTTTTAATTAATTCTAGAGTATTTAAATAAATGAAGCTCTATTATTTTCATCAACGAAATTTATCTGTTAAGGTAAGGAAAACTTGATAAACAAGTTATTTAATTAAATTATTTGAAACAAAATAGAATTAAAATTGATTTTTCACAAATATAAAGTGTGAAAATGTAAATAAACAACCTGTGATTTTTATCTTTTTTAATGCGATTTCAATGCTTTAAGTTACATTTTAAAGTGTGTTTTTTTTGTGTGTTTCGAATAATTTTTTGACCCCTAATTTCGTTCATTATTATAATAATTTATTTTCCTCAAGGACACGATCTTGAATAAATTTTTCTGATTTTCAAAAGATTTTCATATGCTTAAAATAGTGAAATGAGTTTTGAAAATTATTTTATAGAGTGGTAGCCAAAACTTTCAGAAATTTTGTGAATTTCACCTACTTTTATTTATTAGATATATTTTAATTATTATATAAAGTGATGTGGAAAAGAAGTTTAAAGGAATAAAAAATAATACTTTACCACATATACATATCAACCCCTCGAAATTTTTTTTACAAAAAGCGTAGAAAGTTGACAGTCTAGAATTTATACGTTAACACGTAGATGGCCATGGGGGTCACCGGTGACCGGAAAAGCGAAGATTATTAGAAACACATGATTTAATTTTTTTATATTATTATCGTTACTAAAATGGTTTGAAGGAATTTATGTAATATCAAACACAAAAGAATAGTTTTATTTATATACACTGAGATACTAACTTGCTCTGGATAGCGAATAAATATTTTCAAGTGGTATTTTATTAATTGTGATTCTTGATTTAATAAATTCAGTTTAGTAGATTTTTATCCACCACTATTTCTAAACAATACGTAGAGTTATATAATTCAACACTTTTTTTTTCGGATATGTCTTTTAAAAATTAACAAAATCTATCTGATATTTGCAAATTTAGTTTGTAGTTATTTACCGTGTTAAAGAAGTAAGATTTTAAATCTTTTTAACAATCAACTTACATCTAAATTTACCGATACTTATGGTATCGTTTTTATAAATTTTTTTAGAGAAATTAAAAACTACTCTGCTTAAAATAATAGTTTTACGAAAAGTCTTCGGCGAAGAACGTTAGAGCTAGCAGCAGCTATCATTTAAATAGTCATAATCTTATATTTATTATTAATGGATATCTTCATTTTAGGACAATATTATCCTTTTGGTCCGTATCCACCTGGCTACGCACCACCACCCTGGGGTCCACCTTTCCAAATGGAAGCACCACCCTCACCTGCCAGCTCCATTAGGTCGCTGAATCGTGTGGGTAGGACAAGACGTCGAAAGAAGATGACCAGTGAGGACGATGATGAAGAATTTTCTGTTTCCAGTTCTCCTCTGAGTCGTCCGAAATCTTCATCTTCAGAAAGACCTGTTCAAGGATTCAGAAAAGCACCACCACATCCTCAATCCTCCTCATCAGAGGAAAGTGAAAATGAAAAAGAAATTAGTAGGAGCAAAGGATCTAGGGTGATTATTTTGTTGCACAGTACTGAACAGGAACTACAGCACTATAATTCGCACAACAAAAATAGACATGTAGATGCTAGTTTAACACTTTGAATGCCATGGGGGTCACCGGTGATCGGCGCTAAGTTTGTTCGTAGATCAGCAGGGATCACCGGTGACCGGCGAAGCCAAGATTGTTAGAAACACATAATTTGTGTAAATTTTTAGTTTTTTAATATTATTGTCGCTACTAAAATGGTTTGACGAAATTAATGCAATATAGAACACACAAAAATAGTTTTATTTATATACTCAGAGATAGCAACTTGCTCCGGACAGCGAATAAATATTTTAAAGTGGTAATTAATTAATTGTGATTCTTGGTTTAATAAATTCAATTTAGTANCCAGCTCCATTAGGTCGCTGAATCGTGTGGGTAGGACAAGACGTCGAAAGAAGATGACCAGTGAGGACGATGATGAAGAATTTTCGGTTTCGAGTTCTCCTCTGAGTCGTCCAAAATCTTCATCTTCAGAAAGACCTGTTCAAGGATTCAGAAAAGCACAACCACATCCTCAATCCTCCTCTTCAGAGGAAAGTGAAAATGAAAAAGAAATCAGTAGGAGCAAAGGATCTAGGGTGATTATTTTGTTGCACAGTACGGAACAAGAACAAATTCGCACAATAAAAACAGACATTTAGATGCTAGTTTAACACGTTGAATGCCATGGGGATCACCGGTAACCGGTACTAAATTTGTTCGTAGAGCCGCAGGAATCACCGGTGACCGGCGAAGCCAAGATTATTAGAAACACATAATTTGTGTAAATTTTTAATATTATTGTCGCTACTAAAATGGATGGAAGAAATTAATGCAATATAGAACACACAAAAATAATTTTATTTATATACGCTAAGATGCCATCTTGCTCCGGACAGCGAATAAATATTTTCAAGTGGTAGTTTATTAATTGTGATTCTTGGTTTAATAAATTCAATTTAGTAGATTTTTATATACCACTATTTCTATACAATTCGATGGTTTATATAATTCACCACTTTTGCAACGGCGTCATGGTAAACCTTTCAAAAACTATCCAAATCTGTCTAATATTTGCAAATTTAGTTTGTAGTTATTTGGTTAGACGGGCAAGCCGTGTAAAATTAGCGTGGCATTAAACGTGTTAAGGATGTTTTTTAAGGCTCCTCCGTCTCGTGAAATACCGCTTTACAGTGCATAATTTGTAAATTTGAATGCATAATGTTTTTAACTTCATCTCTGATGAAGAACGTTTGAATGTAATTGGCGACAATATAACAGTTTTAAGAAACATATATAATGTGATAATATTATATTTACCGGAAAAAACACGACCCATTCTACAAGCATGCAAAAGATGCCTTTAAAAAAAGTGGTAGGGCGTTTTCTCTTAAATATATGTATCAAATGTACCACTCATTTCTGTCGAATACTTTTGTTGCAAGTTTGAACATGCATACACGTGTTCTTTCATGCCATACATGTTGTGTCTCTTTAAGCTAGAACATAACCATTGAGTTAAAAGGTAAACGCCCTACCTCTTTATATATAAAAAACAACCTTTAGGATTTTCCAGTAAACCATATGTGTTTAATTCTTTAAGACGGTTTGTAGTACTTATTTAATTTATTTTAAAAAAATAAAAATCAGTGGGATTCTTTTTTTAAATAAAAACAACGAATGGGCAGTGGTAAACATACTTATCATCAAAAATGTGGTGTTAAAATTTGAATTAATTTTATTTTATAAGGTAAATGAGGTTTTTTTTTCTTTTATCAATACCAAAAATATTTTGATTTACGATCACTAGAAATGAATGGTTTACTAAGGGATTGATCAAGAATTTAAGGTTAAAATTTACCTTTTTTTAGCCTATACTCTTTATACTAATTCCATAGCTGAAAGACCTCATATAGCAAGACAAGTGCAAAAACTGGTACGAAAGACATTTTATTTTAGCATTTTTTTCTAGAAAAATAAAATATCTGTAACTATCAAGATTTCTTTTATCATTTTAGTCTAGATATGAAACTGCTTATTTTCCAAGGATAATGTAGATATTGTTGAATAGTTTTAAAAGGAATAAGTTAACTCCTCCCGGAAACTAGTTATAACCGAAATGGTTTTACTACCAGCCATTCCTCTTTTCCGTCACGCTTTCACCTCTGACTAATTCTAAAAACGGTGCAAAACGTCTATGAAGAAAGAAACCCACATTTATAAAAGCGAATAGTGTATGTTATCTAATTTCTTAAAATTTAAAAATTTACTTCGACATAACACTATTTACGATTAATTCCAATTAAAACCTATTGTTTCCTTTAAACAGTAAATTTTTGCAATGTTTTAAATTTTAAAATTTTTCAGTAGGCTTGAGAATTACAGTTCGAATTAGTCAGAGAAAACGTTAGTTTTAAAAATACACCACTGTATAAACACTCTTCGCAATACCATGACATAAAAATGATCTCACGTTTTTTGGAAGGCAGAGTATCGTGTAAAAACAAATTTATTAAAACCAATAGTCAAGCAGTAATAAAACATAAATGTTGCTCGAACTGAAAAAATCATACTCAAAATAAGTAGAAGATTACAGGGAATTGATAATATCAACGTAATAATGAATTTATTAATGATCATTATGCCATATTAAAAGTTTATTGTAACCATAACGGTTTCCAATACTTTTAGACGAATAGAAAAGATTCAGATCCGAGACGGTTGCCATCTCCTGCAACAAGAAGCCCTCAGGTCCACAAGAAAAAAACATCGAAACAAAAGAAAACTGCTGTTTCGGAACATTCCGATGCTGATGACAGTGAACCGAAACCTNTATTACTTCATCGTTTTTTCTTCTTTTTAAGATTATTTCCAATTTTTCTTTTTTTTTAGTTGGTTTTAGCAATAAAAAAAACGGCTTTTTTTAGCGATTCAGAAAACCGGAAAAATCAGTTATCCGGAATATCGATGGTCCCGATCACTCCGGATAATCGGTTCCCTATATTAATTTTTTAGTGTTCATCACTAGATTGTTGGAACAAAATGATGCATAGCGTGAACAGTCGTTCACTTATGTAAATGCAGTGATGGAGAAAAATATTGTTTATTTCAGTTAAAATATTTTGTTTTGTTTTCGTTTTGTTTATTCTGTATTTGTTTATTCAGTATACTTACTCCTACGGGGGGGGGGACAGAACTACTGAAATGAATGACTTATTCCATAGGTTAATAACAAACATAATTTAAATGAACTATACTTGAACGTTTTCAAACCATAAATCATCTTATAAGAAATATTTTCGTATTTTAATCTGGGGTTTTGCAGGAATCACCAAACATTTTACAGTTTGTCCAAATGAAGATAATGTATACTTTATTTTACTTATGATTAAAACTGACCAACGTGTATAAAGCGCATATATCGTTTCAAAAATGGACCATTTTGGACCATTATTAGCGCTTCATTCATATTATTTAGATACATTCTATAGAATTCTAATAACTTTTTGCATGACTGTTCTAGCGTTGTCAATTGTGCCTTAATCCTAATTTTTTATTCACTTTTCTTTTAATTCTTAGCAACTGGGTTGAAATTTGTTTTTACATTTTTGATCTGCATTACAAATGGAACATTAAAGAACAAATCTAGTACATAAATCTAGTACAGAGTGGGCTCCATAAAATGATTCTAATGTACTTCTAAGATTCTTATGTACTTCTAAGATTCTTATGTACCTCTATTCTTATGTATTGTAAATGTTTCTTATGTACTGTTATATGTTCAGTATTTTTCCCTTTTCCCATTTGTAATTGTTTTAGAGCATTGTCTTCTTGCCAAAATGATGTCTGTTGCGGGATAGTTCGGCATTTTCTTCATACTGTGTCTTGCACTGATTATAGTACCGAAACTGTTATCTATCTAATTTGCTTTTGTTTCATATTGGTTTTATATTAAATTCATTACATTATAGGTCCAACACCACCACCCGGTCCATCAGTGTCATTGACTGTACCATCCAGCCAGTGGCAGTGTAAACATTGCACATTCATCAATTCACCGCAAAATAAAATATGCCAGGTGTGCTGCAAAACAGCGTCTCCTGCAGAGGACACAACAACTGCTTCCAGCAGACCAACCAGTGCGAGCAGTCGAAAACTAAGCCTGAGTTCAGAGAAAAGTTGTTCTTCTCCAGAGAAAAGAATCGAGGATGACACAGAAGACATGAAAGCCAAACAGGACATGGAAAATTTGAACTCAGCCCTCGATGAGGCCGAAAAAGTGAGAATTGGATCATTTATTCTGAAAATAAAATTATTAAAAAGAAAATACATATATAATGATTGCAACTTCCTTGTAAAACATTTTGCTACCTTCCGAACCAGACTAACAAATTAATGGACCTCTTAAAAACAAATTTGATCTTAAAATGTTTTTAATTACCATCGTTGTAAAGTTTATGAAAGTTAATACGATTTTTGCTTGTGAAATATTTATTTGTACCTGAAATTATCTACGGTATATTTATTTTTTATTATTCTCTGCTATTCCGTTTATTTTTAGTAAAGTAATAACTAAACATGCATAACATAAACATTCATAACATGCATAACATAAATATTAACGTACATAAACGTAATATACTTTGATAAACGTTTTAAGTTTTTACTTGCTATGAAAAACGTTTTTACTTGCGTTACTGAACTCTCAAAAATACGATATGATGCATAAAAAGAGCCACCCATAGGTCATTTACAATTATTCTAATTAATTTTGTGTTAACATATAAACTTAGAATATACTTTCTGGAGTAAATATATCCAAAATTGTAAGCAGAATTATAGATTTACTTTTTACAGAATTGTTAAGTAATTTCATCGTAAAAACATGAAACGGATCTTTTTAATACTCAAATAAGAAAATATACAAATTCATGCATAAATTTGCAAATACTGTAGGATAGAAACTGAATTCCTTATTGTAAGCTTGTTTGATTAACGAAATTATTAATGCACTGTTAAATACTGAACGTAATTATTACACTTAAAAAAAACTAAATCGATTTTAAGACGTTTTTTAACCTTGGAAAGTATTCAATGTTGACTCTTTATAGTAATTAAATCAGAAACAAATCTTTAGGAGTTGCGAACGTAAACAAACAGTTTTTATACAGAATGTGTTACAGTTGCAGAATATTTCTTTCAAAAAACATTAATAGAATTTTAAAAAATTGCAACTTTTAGCAAAACAAAAGCTAATACATAAAGAATTGTAAAAAGTTTTTAGAATTCAGAAACGGTGCAAAGCTCACATTTACAATATAATGTCCTGTTCATATGTCCAACATATTTATAAGCAAGAGCCTATGAATTCCGCCACATGATCGCCTGGGTGGCAACTATTTTAGTAAGACATAAACCAGAAAAATCTGAAGATATTTTGGGGAAAAAATGTTTGGAGAAATAATTCTAATCATAACATCTGATTAGAACATTTATATAATTTACACTTCCGATAAACTTAGGCGATCTCGTCACTTGTACTTTATTTGTTTTTAAATAATACTCTTAAATTTTAAGAAATACTTACCGGTATGTAATTTCTAAAAATAAAAATCTATTACCCTACGTTACTTTCCATAAAATAAAAGTCCTTTACGCTAAAGCTCCTTAAAATTATACCTGGCTCTTAGAAATTTTACACTTTTACTGACCCCTGTTTGTAAGTCATATTACATTGAATCGCGATGTGTGGTCTCAATAGTATGATATAATTGCATTTTTTATTTTTAGGAGATCAGTCGTGGAATAGAAGAACTCATGAAGCTTAAGGAAGACTTTTCTTCACAGCAATCAAATTCACCGAAAAAAGACTCTCCATCATCGAAAAAGCCACCAGTCGTCAAAGACAACGTGGAAAACTCAAAACCAGTTTACAAATCATCCGGTAAAATGCGAACAAGGATGCTGGACAAACTGAACTTAAGCTTAGAACCATCCACAGTATCAGCATCGACAGAAACCCAAACTGGCAACAGTCCCGCTGGCTCTTACGACTCAACGGACAAAATCATAGAAGCAAGACGACCATCAACATCTTCCACAACATCAGATGCCTATAACTCGCCAATAGCACAAAGTCCAGATCCTCAACAAGCAGCAAGCAAAACAAGCAAGCGTAATACTCAGAAAGATTCTTCATGCCAAACACACCAAGATAATAACATGGATTATCCAGATCGGGGGCCGATGGAAGATGAACCACGTTTTGGAAGGCAGACGAATGGATTTGGTTATCGCTATGGTGACAGATTGGATATGGTTACGTCACCTGTGCCTTCAATGTATGACAGGGAATTTGGTGGTGGTTTTGGTATGATGCCAAGATCTCGTTCACGAGCTTCGTTGTTTACCGGTAGAATGAATGATCCTGGGTTAATGGAATATGGAATGGGAGCGAGTCCTATGTATAGGAGCGTAAGCCGAACTTCACTAACTGGTGACTTTTCTGTAAGCGTTTATTTTATTATGGTTTTATCAAATTGTTTTTTAAAGCTATTTTCTAACCCATTTACGTTTATTATCCTTCAAAAATAACGGGTTACTTATTTTCATTAAATTTTGGAAAAAAATCGAACTCATCTGTTTTATTGGAGACAGTTTCATGCCTTCCGACTTTTCTGAATTTTCTGGAAAATATTAAAAAATATTATCTCTATATTTAATATGTTAATAATATTTTTACATTCATGCTTGATTGTTATTTTAAAATATTTAAATTGAAATGATTTTATCTACCATTACATTTACACAGTATAAAAAACACAAGGGTAAATCACTAATTATTTTGTTGCGTCAACAGAGCATATTTACAGATTAAATGCCGACTTTTTTGATGAAAAAATTAAATGTACAGCTGCAAACTTTAACTAAATCTTTGAATATAAAAACTATAATGAAAACATCCATCTCTGACCTATTGGGGTAAACTCAGGCCTGCCAACTACTATGCATTTTGCTAAATATTTTATAGAGTAGTAAACATTTAAAAACCAAAACATTCTATATTTTTGGTAATTTTGCAACGTTTTAAAAGCCTCACCACTGAAGAGCTGGAACAAAGTGAAGTTGCCTATGAACTTTTAAATCACTTATGTGTAGTAGTGTAGAAAATAAGCTTAAATGAATAAGAAATAATACATGAAAGCTAAAACTTAGCTACCACAAGAATAAAATTTTATAAAAAGCGTAGAAAGTTGGCAGCCCTGCACACTTCTTCAGCGACTCCTCACTAAAGAACTACCAAAACAGATAATATTCAACCTCACCATCTCCAACAAAAGAATAATTGAATAAATATTATCCAAAAGGCCTTACCACACGTCTGTGTCTCACCTCCATGCTAATCATCCTCAACTGATTTCACTGCCTGGTCGTTAGGAAGCAAAACAGCTGGTTTTCATATCACATTGTTTTTATTTTACGAGGAAGGACCGCACATATATAAATATCAACCCTGCTGACTACCAACTCCAACAATTTCAACTCATTGTTTTCATGATATCAAGATGAGTGGTATAAGATCCCAGATCCCAATACATACATAGGACTAGGATTTTTTTATACTCTAAGTATTACACAAATGTCAATAAAATGTATGTTAGCAATCTATATCCCTTCAATTGGAATTTCAAACTACTTTGAAGAGCGTAAAATTTGGTAGGTATGCAGTTTCATTAGAGAAATCAATCTTTTGTATCTACCTATATAAGACTTGAATAGAACACAGATTGTATTATTGTACACAGATAACACTATAATTTTATTGCTTATTAAGATCTTGCAACTTAACTTTAAAAAACAAACATGGAAATTTTGTTGCAAACAAATTTTAAATTGACAATCTTTAATTTAATCACTACTTTTCATTAAAAAAAATAAAACCTTAACTAAAAATATTAAGTTTACCGTAAAAAATTTTTACGAAAGATTACGTTGTATTATACAATGATGCGAAAGGTAGGCACGTTTTAAAAAAAATAATTAAAGTGGTACATCATTTACCCTTTAATCCATTTAATGAAAATATTGGATGTACCACTTAGTTCTTTTCAATACTTTCGTTACAAATTTGAATATGTATGCGCATGTTCTTTTGCGATATATACGCTACGTCTCTTTAAGCTAGAACAATACCATTGATTTAAAAAGTAAATATAGAGATGCCAACTGCTCCGCTTACTACTAACGTTTTGATAAATTGGTAGTGTAAAACTAATTAGTAAATAGTAAAACTAATAGAATTAGGATAATTACATGCATTTCATAAAAGTCTCACAAAGAGTGAGCTACAATAAATATGCTTTCACATGATATTTTGAATTTTTGATATTTAGTGGTGGAAAAATTACTTAAAAGGAAAAATACGTAACTAAAAAAATAACTTCAGTTTCATTACCACTAGAAAATATATTTTTACGAGGCGGAGCAAGTTGGCATCGCTGTAAATACCCTATTTTTTTTATTTTGTAACCGTCGTTGAACAGCCGACCCAATTTTTAGGTTTACGACTACTAATGCTTAACTATGTAGCCTTGTAATTAATTTTGAACTAAATCCAGAAGACAAGGAACCACGAGAACCTCCCACGGCTCGCTTGACCGCAAGGGGACTCTAACCCATGATCCGTCTACCATGGAGGATATTTCACATCAGCACTGTAGGCGGTGCAATCTGGATGCGAAATTCGTTTCGACCAGCCATCGCTGGGATTCGAACCTTGTTCACCTCATTGGCCATCGATACTCGTAAATACCCTATTATCGTTAATTTGCATTATGCACGCTTCTCTTCCATCATTTTAATATTCAAATTATATTAAGGAGCATATAGTCCTTCGAGCTAGGTACTCCGTACCCTATATTTAAACCGGTAAATGCCCTACTACTTTCTTTGATAAAAGAACCTTTTGCATTAGTTTAAAATTACGTTACTTACGTGGATAGAACTTATCGGTAGACCTAATATTTTAAGTTTTCAACTATAATCTCTTAAGCGTAAATTATTAATGTAAAGTACCAATGATGGCGAATATTTTTAAGAAAAGGGTTTAAATGCTGTTTTTTAATTTTTCATTGTTTAATTTTAAATCTATCTTTTACGTTTAATCAAAAAATTTGCTTGAATGTTTTTTGTTATTTTTTCGATCTTTTCCTCCTTTGTATCTTTTCAATTTCTTACAATAATGTCTTCACTTACTGTACCACTTGTTTATTTTATGTTTTGTAACAATCTGGAGGTTAGTAAACCAACAGACTACTATAGTTACTCTACGGCAAGAACTCCCTTCGCCCCAAAGTCTGAGGCCGTCTGCTGCTATGGAAACAAGAATAGTGCATTTCAGGGAGGGTAGCTACTCTTTCTTCAAGAGCTAACATAGACCAAGGTTAAATTACTCCTTTTTTTTCGCCGACCCCACACCCCCACTTGAAATATTTATACTTCGTTACCATAGTTACCGCCACGGGTCCAGATGAATGGCTAAGGGAGTTCTTACTTTAGACAAACTATAGACTAGCTTCTTGGAAATTACAAATTTATTATTGTTTTCTTTTATAATGGCTTCTTAGAAAACTATTTCTATACCAATATAATTAACTGCAGCTTAGATTGAAATGAAATATTCCACTTTTTTTTTCAGGATAATAGATTTTCAGAGTTTCACAATTTGCGAAAACCGGACTATTACCTGAGTATGGAGGAACTAGTAGAGCGAAGACGTCAGGAACATATCAGAGCTCAAGGCCTAGAGCTTGTTCGAATGATACGAGTACGTAATTTCACGTATTTTTTATTCTAAAATTAGCCCCTTGCATGTATACGTAGCTCTAGCATGTATACGTAGCCCTTGCATGTATTGATATGTATTTGAGATTGGTCTAAAATATTCATCACTAGTCAGACTACACAATACAGATAGAGCAAGGAGTAAACCTGATTTAAACAATAAAAAAATTAATTGATATAAAATGTTTTTATTATGGGGTATATTCAAGAAATCTAATTTATATTTTATTTGAATTATGTTAAAGTTGACAGTTAGACTATTATATTTTTAATTTTAATCCTATTTTTTGAAGTTTAAAATTTTCAATATATACCTTAGTATTCACATATTCACCGTATAATATTTCACTACATATAACAATTGTTAAAAAAAAAAAAAAACAATAAGAAATAAAATAAAAAATTGCATGTTATAGGTAGCAATGAAAAAAAAAATCTTTCGAGTGTAAAAAGGTTAAAATTGTTTAATTTAACTTCATTCTAAGAGAAAAATTAAAAAAAAAAAAAACACACTTTAATTATGACTTATATTTAAAGTGATTGAAACAAATTTGACTTTTTATCTCATGAAGTAGACTGCAATTTCAAAAGCTAAATTGATCAAATCGAATAAAAAGTATCTAGAAAACCTTTCTCTATTCTATATTTACTTTTATTTTATACTTCTGTAAAATCTAACTCCATTTTACCTTTACTTTTATTTATTTGTTGATTTGTTTATTTATTTATTTATTTTTCAAAACTAAATTAAAATCCAAGCATGATAATTACCTAAAATAACAAGACCGGAAAAACCACTTAATCTACCAGATTTACTCTAAAATTTTAATCTAAATGTACCTGATCTGAATATTAATGTAAATACTAAAATGGATTATCTTACGAAATATTGTGACAAAGTTAAGACGTAGAGAAATCAAACCTTTAAAAGTAACTATCCTCTCGATGACTTTGATATGCTTGCTCACAGATTAGTGAACAAAAATTTTATTTTTCATGTTATAAACAATTCTTCAATGTATTATTTGATTAATTGCATTTAATCTATGTTAGTGGCAACTGTATTAAATAATTACTTATAGCTATTATATTAAAATTGAGCAAATGAGAAGAAATTAAATACTTGTTTGCATGACTACAAAACTCCTTTTTTTTTAATTTCTTAATACAAGCATCATGTAAACCTAACCTAACTAAACATTAAGTAAACCTGAACTAACCAAGCATTATGTAAACCTAGACTAACCAAACATTATGTAAACCTAAACTAACCAAATATTATGTTAATCTAGACAAACCAAACATTATGTAAACTTAAACTAATGAAACATTATGTAAACCTAAACTAACCAAACATTATGTTAATCTAGCCAAACCAAACATTATGTAAATTTAAACTAATGAACCTTTATGTAATCCTAAACTAGCCAAACATTATGTAAACCAAAACTAACCAAACATTATGTATACCTAAGGACATATCACTTTTTGAAACTAACTCTTATTAAATATAATAAAAACACTGTCTTTTGTTTTAAAAGGAAGCAGAACAACAAGGTTTTACGGCCGACGACATTCAAATAGCTTTGAGCAAAAGTGGAAACCAAAACCCTTTGAAATGGTTACAAGAAAATTGGAAAAACATGGTGGAAAATGTTGTCAATATGTCAACCAATTATGGCAACGAAAAGAAGGAAAACGATGTTGGCGCAGTTAGTGAAGATGAAGCAAGAGAAGCTTTGAGATTACACAAAGGAAATATTTGGGCGGCTGTTACAGAATGCGTCGAAAGTCGCCAACGAAAAGTAAGAATGATGCCAAATTTCAAAATTTAAATTACCTTATAAAATTCAAATTATAAATCATGCATTATCATTTGTTACTAAAGTGAAACATAAATCCGCAAAGAAAGCGATATTCCTAGATTACTTTGGGAGACAAATTAATTTTTTTTGTTCTCTCTTACATGAGATTTTTTTAACAGATCTTAGACAATTTCGTATCGCTAATATCAAATTCGCAATTGCTTTCTCTTTCCAAACCCCTACTTTTTTTAATGCCTTTTTTAGTCCATTTTGTCGAAATGTGCATTTAATACGTTGTATATAGCTGGGGTCGCATAAATGTTGCGACTAACTTCTAAGGGAATTAGGGCACATTACATTTGCTTATGAAACCATGTTCAGAAATATCCTCATGCGTCGCTAGGGACGCTTCCCTATTTTGAATTGTTTCTCTGTATGCTTCTGAACAGTTGATAATAGAAAAGCACCTCTAGCCACGTACCACGACGTTTCTGAACATGAACTCCAACGTATTTTTATACCGGATAGTGTGCCCTAAGTTCCCTAGAAGTTAGCCACAAGATTTACGCGATCCTCTGTAATTAATTACAATTATAAATAAACTTCGTTACCGAAACTAATTACAATTATAAATCAACTTAGCAACCAAAATTAATTACAATTATAAATAAACTTCGTTACATAAAATTTACACATACATATTTGCATTTTTTTATTTATTATAATTTTTTATTACTTTGCTGTCTACATTAGAATTTTATTTTAATCCATGCTACTTATTCGGAACTGACACTCTTTTCAGTTTAAAATAATTTCCCTGTAATCCTAAATAAGCACAAACGGTTACCAATAGCTGCAAAGAAATTATTTAAAAATACAATTAAAAATGTATAAAAATTATTATTATACAACAGTTAATCCTTAAAATTGTGTTGCCTAAATGTCAAATGAACAGTGGACACGTTTGATAAAGTCGTAAACGAGAAATTTTATGGATTTTAATCATATTTTAATTTTACAAATTCATTTCGTCGGTTTTAACCTCTAGGTTGAAGCTCCTTTAAATTACAAAAAGTTTTTGTAGGGAAGATTGAGTTAAAACAGTTTGTATTGTCACTTTTTTAGGTCACTTTCAAATTTTTTCAGAATGTGACCACCCTTGTAGATACAGCAGCGCTATTAAATATGGTATATTATGAAAAGTTTAAAAAGTGAGTCGCATATTACGTGTAACTGATTAACGTGCCGTGGTGGCTCAGGGGATACAGCGCTCGCCTTCCATTGAGGCGACCAGGATTCGAATCCCGGGGATGGCAGGTCGATTCGTATTTCGAACCCAACTCGCAACTACCACAGTTTCAACGTTAAATACCCTCAGTGGTAGACGGATCATGGTTCAGAGTCCCTTTACTGTCAGGCTAATCGTTTTTCCTCTCCGTGAAACTCAAATGCATGTTAATTCCATCGAAAATTCATCCACATTAAGGCAATTTTCTCCCAGCACTTGATCCAGGAGTACCCTTGTCTTCTGGATAGGGTTCAAAATTACAAGGCTTCGGAATTGAACAATGGTAATTGTAAACCCAAAATTAGATCGGCTGTTCAAGTTGTAACATAAAATAAAATAACTAATTATAACCTGCTATGAAAAATTCAAAGGCGTTTAAAAAACTCATACTAAGTATGGATGCTTTCACAACACTGAACGCGCAGTAGTAGGGTTGATTGGAATAGGATGGCTTCTCAGGGATGCTGAGGGGGTCCGGAAAACCCTGAATTTCTCAAGATGAAAAATTTATAAATAAATATATAGATAGATAGATTGTTAGAAATTTTCTGAAAAAATAAATAATTGAATCACCACAAATATTCTCACCTAGCTAGTCGGTTCCTTTACTCAAATGTAACTCGGACTTACGTCTATTCTTTCATTAACCCCATAACGCACAAATTTTTTGAAGAAAAAAAAACGGCCAAAAAAAATAACATTTTTTTATGTAAAAAAAAAAATTGATTCCGCTCCTGGTTCAACTTTTCTTTCGGTGGACAATTTTTACATACTGCGCTTTTGTTTCATGGGAAAAGGCTATATTTTATTCTTGAATAAATAAGTGTTATAGCTTACAATCCTAAGTAAATGACAAATATCAATAAAACGATTTTTTTTCCTCAGCTTTCATATAGCAGCATAAATTACAACACCGCTCGAATTATCTCTAGAGTGTGCAAAGTTTGCCCTGTTCAGAGGGCTCGAATTAACTCGAGCGCACAAGTTAAAGGGTTAAAATCAGCAATTCATTGCATTTGGTAGCCCCGGTCTTGATAGATCCAATATTGACTGCCACCTGTCATGCAAACTCTTACAACACAGCTGTGTATCCTTCATGAACAGCTCCCATCCGACGATAAGTAATGTCAACATAAATACAACTGAAAATTTTACTAAAGCGCAGTGTTGTATGCTGATAGCATCCGTTTTTGGTAAAACTTTTAATTAACTCTAAATTCTCTCGAGTTATTCGCAATCTGCAATGAACTTCTGTTTTTTTTTCTGTCTTAATGGTAACTTTGTTCTCATAATTTCATTTGGACACAACTTATAAATAATAGCAAAATTTTAAAAAATTTCTTAAATAAAGCTAAAACTTGTTCGTTTAAATACAGTTGACTCTTTTTCGATTCATATTCATAGTGTTTTTTTTTTTTCCTTTTTAGTTTTTTGAACTAAAAGCTCGAGGAAAATTCAGCTCCAAAGCAATCATCGAAGCACTTACAGCAGCGCAAGGTGACGTAGGTTTAGCCTACTCTAAGCTCACAAAGTCCTCTTCGAAACCCTTCTTAATGCGTATATGGGGAGCAGGGGAAGGAGCTGAAAATCAAGACGGAGCACTCATACCTATGGGCAAGAGTCCTTTCCAAAGCGAGGAAGACCTATATATGAAACAAAGAAACCAAGAATACGAAGCTCTTAGCGACGACATTTGGTCTGAGGATGAAGATGTGGAGTGGGAAGATGATGCTGAAGAAGATGAAGAACATGAACAAGGTGATTTGGATGATCTCCAGACTTGCCGAGAGGATTTGGCTAATGATATCATAACGCCAGAAAGTGATAAAAGTGATTACGCCGATGCGTTTGGCACAAGCACTTTAGAAAGAGTACCGTCTTTGCCTTCGGAAGAAGAAGTTTTCCCAGTACCAGATGAACAAAAAGAAAAAAGGCGCAGCGGCTTATTAAGTAAACTTGCTGCATTGAGAAAAGATGGTAGTAAAACAACTTCAAAAACAGTTACGGACGATGAAAATCAATCCAGTGGTGAACAAATCGAACAGGCAAAAACATACGCACCACTAAATATAATAAAGAACACCATATCAGCAATTCGCGATACAGTAAGTGGACCACTCAAGTCTGAAAAGAAATTGCCCTGCGCAGCTCCAGAGCGTAGAACTATAATTGTAAATAGTCAAATTCCACGAGATGTGAAAGAAGAAAATAAAATTCCAGAAACAACACCTACTATAAATTCCACCGAGGCAATTAGTTTAGAAGTCGATGAACAAATTAACACCGTTCTGAAAAATGGTAAAAAGAACGTGTCAAAAGCTGAATTTAAACCAGAAATTCAAGAAAACATTTATAAAGACTTAACCCAGTCAGAAGCCAAACAACAGAAACAAAAGCCATTAGAAATAAAGGAAATACAGTCAAGAACTAGTGAAACGAGTTTAAATATAGTAACTGAAAACTCAAATACAAAAACAAATCATTCCGATAGTAAAATAAATGACAGTATGCCCATTTATGATGATCCACATACAAAAAATGAAAATGTTATCGTAACATCATTTGCGAAAGAAAAAGAACATAGTTCTGAAAAACATAACAAAGAAAGGAAGGTTGCTTTAGAAGTCAAACAAAACTCACATCAGTCAAATAAGAGCATTGAAAAAGATTTACCTATTAAAAAAACACAATCAACTGATGCAATTACTTTAAAAGAAACACAAATACCGTCAACAAATGCTGTCAGTTCCATAGAAACACAGATACCATCAACGAACACAATCACTTCACACGACACACAATTGCCATCAATTAATGCAGTCACTTCAATATCAACTGAAGAAAAACCTGTGTACGAAGATAAACTAATCAAAGATAGCCCAAGTCATATTCAAATTACGCAAAAAATTGAAAATCCTGAGAGCGCAAGAAAAGGAAACAGTTTAAGCGAAATATCTTCTTCTGAAAAGCAAAACTCTGAGAACGTAGCAATGAACCTAGCTGTTCAAAACTATGATGAACCTTTACCTATCCCTAAAACTGCAACCAAGAATGAAAAAACTACAGCAAATGAAACAAAAAGCAATATTATTTCACCAATTAATCCCAATATGAAAGAAACTAATCCAACTAATAACAAAACGAGTAGTTCTGTAAAAGAAAAGACTTTAACCCAGCAAAATGAGAATGAGATTTTAAATTTATCTATGCCGAAAAAAGTTACTACAATAAAAAATACAAACTTAAATAAAGTTAAAAGTATTAATGATTCGGTGGATTCAATGGAAAATTTAACCTCTATAGCCAAAAAGGGAAAAGAAATTGATCAAAATTCTTTAGTTACGTTTGAAAAGAATAATGTTTCTGTGGATAGTAAAGAAAAAACTAATCTCGTTGTTCCAGACGAGAATGTTGCCTTTAATTTATCAGTCGAAAGTAATGAATGTCCATTCGAATCAAATGATTCAGGTAAATCTGGAAAAATTGAGGACACTTCAGTATCTGCTTCAAACAACTTCCAAACAGGTGGTCATGTGAAAATGACAAATGCTTCAGTCGTTAATAAAATTGTTTCAAAAGCCTTCAGTCAAGAAACAGCTGGCAAAGCTGATATTAATAAGGAAATAGAAGGTTTAAATTACATAGATTCGAACGAAGTAGTTGAAGAAATGGCAACAGTTAAAATTTTTCAGAAAAAGAAATTCCAACCAGCAGAAAAAGCTGAAACTGAAGTTGATATAGTCGATCATGACAGCGAAATTAAAGATTCTGTTACTAACGAAGAATCCAAATATTTTGAATCAAATAAGAAGTTGATAACTTCAGATAAAGAAAAAACTAAACCACAAAAGAAACTTCCTGAAATAGTTTCCGAAACTGTTACTACTAAAGTAGAAAAATTAGATGACACACCAAATGGTCAAGATAAATTGGTGAACCAACAAAAATTATTGTTTGAAAAAGTTACAGAATCTTCCAGTAGTATGTTAGTACACCCAGAACATAAAAACTGTGAAAACGCTGAAGAAGAAACTGAATTAACAGACTCAAAAGAAAATGAAGAATTTTCAGTTGTACTTGAAAATAGAGAAACTGATTTAGAAATGCCAAAAGGACACTGTAAAGCTGATGAAAACGCTGCATCATCAGCCGCTGATCAAAAAGCGAATATTAGTGATCAAACTACTGATACAAGATCAAATGAAAACAAAAGTGAAAAATCTACCAATCAAGAAGTACATAATTTAGGAATGGAGAAATTGCCAGATGATGTTATAAACAATTTAAATACTAATGAGCGAGAACATTTATCTCTAAATATACACACCCATGATGAAAATATGAATGGTTTGACAAATCCTCCTTCTACATCCAGTATGGAAATCGAAAAAAATTCAGTATTAAACATAAAAATAACCGAAGATCAGAGTCACGAACATATAAAAGAAACGGTTGTCAATGATGTAAACGTTTTGAAAAATCAAGTTGAGGATATAGCCTCAATCAGAGACTCTTCTATTAATCAGGTAGATGAAAAGATAATCAATTCAACTTCTCAGCAAAACTTTGAAGCAGAATCGTCAACAAAATCTTTAACTGGGGATGCCAAATCTACCAATCAATTTTCTAACAAAACTGAAACAGTAGATTCCAAAATAGAAAGTCTTAGCGAATCTTCGGGTAAAATAAAAGACATTAGAAATTCTCGTGAAAAAATTCCAGCAGTTCCAGATTCTAAAATTTCAAAACAAACATCCCGTACAACTGAATTTCAGCAAAACACCGAAAATTCTAGTAATCAAAACATTCCAGAAAATAAAGCAGTTTCCCCAAATTTAATAATTGATCAAACAAATGATCAGCATTCAGAACCCATTCTAGATACTGCGCAAACTGAGAAAAACATTTCCGAAGACAGAATTATGTCTCCAACTCCTTCAACATCAAAAGTTGGTACAGAAGGTGAATCTTCATCGAGTTTTTCGCCTCCAAAAAATCAAAATGATGTAGGTATCAAACAGCAAGAAGAACCAAAGAAGAAGCATGGAATCCTTAAAAAGACACCAAGTACGGAGGGTCCGAATCCAAATAAAGTATCATTTAGCTCCACAGACGTCAAATTCTCTACTGAGGATCCTTCAAAACTCCAATTCTCAAAAATTAAACATAGTTCTTCAAGTGAGAGTTCTTCGAATGAAGGACAAGAAGTCTCTGATACATCAGATCAAGAAGATAACTCCTCCTCAGCAGATTTATCCCCCACTGGGAACAGAAGAAGTAGCATAGATTTCTTGAGAAGCAGGTTTGAAGGATTGATAGAAAATGGTGCTACTGCGGGACCTGTAATTCGTCCCCAAAGCCCTTTCAGAAGGATGTCTTTCAATTCGAGGAAAGCAGCCATTGCATTGGAGAGAACGAAGGAATCAACTACAGATAAACCATGGGTTCAGCCAAGACCAAGAACTGAACCAGCTAAGCCTGTGACAAAAAGAACCTTGAAGCAACAGTTAGAAGTCGAGGTAAGATTTGTAATAATGTCTAAAGTCCTAAATCATTTCAAATTTAAGCTACGAGGAAACACTCTCCGTTGCTTTGAGGAATTTTTTTCACAGATTAGTCTGTTAATTAGCAACCATATTTGCACATGTGGTATCGAGGGGAGGGAATCAAATAGTGTTATCTAGCTTCAGTTGCTTAGCAACAGATAAGAATTTTTTGAAAATTTTCCCTTAACACCGTACAGTGCTTACCATTATACTTATAATTGTTAAAGTTAGTTTAAAGCAAAAGCAATTGTTTTATGCAACCCGTTGAGTTGTATAGAAAGTTATAAATTTCAATTAATAATTAAAATACGAGGGTATTACTTGATTAAAGACTTCCTTCGCTTCAAAAATATATTAATTCGAAATAACAAGTCGACATGTTTCAAATACTGAAAACCAGGTCCTCTTTTTTAAGACTTGTAAGACGTGAATGAGAATTTTAAAAAAAGTGATTTGTAATATAGAATGTAAAGTTGCCAGTGAAAAAGAGAAAAATGAAGACAAAAACAGAACAAGCAAAACCACTGTGACCGAGAGGGATAAATCAGGGTAAAGATACGATCTATCTAACCAAAATCTAAAACAAACAATAATGTTAAAAAAATAAAAGTTAGAGTTGCAGTTGCTTTTATTTTTAAAAATGAAATGTTTTTAAAACATCTAAAATATTTTCAATGTCGCATTTTAGAGGAAAGTCAGAAAAATGGTTGCCGACCGGAAATGCAGAACTTACAGAAAGGCGGAAATTGTCGTCCAATTGATGGAGATGAATTTCGAAGAAGAGGAGGCAATTCAAGCAGCAAATGAATGTTCCACATTAGAACTGGCCATCAGTTTTCTTCAACAAGAATGCTTGCTTTGTACGGGATATTTTCCAGTGTCACAGGTATTTCTTTTCAATTTCTTTCATTTTCTTTTTAATTTCTTTTAAAATCAAGTATTTCTTTTCAACAGTATTTGATGTTTAGATCACATGCTTAATTGTCCACTTACGAATCTTAATTGTGTGTGTTTGCTTGTTTTTAAGGTATATTATGCTTTTTTTAATTAAATTTTATATAGTTTCGTTGTTAATTGCTTTTAGTAAAATTTAATAATAAAGTAAGAAAACTTAAAAAGGTCTCTAGTTTGATTATAAAACCATGGCGCATATTATACAAAACTGATGAGATTGAAGAAGAAGCTAATACACTTTTGAAAAAAAAAGGTTTAAAATCACTACGAATATAAAATTGAGTATTTCATACCTGCCAACTTTTCCGGATTTTTCTGAAGATTTTGTTTTTATATTTGAAGTGGTAGTAAATATATACTATTTTTTCTTTTATAAATTTATTTTTTAAATTATTTTGATCACCACTATTCTTACAAAAATTAAACTTATAAATAAATATGCGTTACTATCATGGTTGCAAACTTGAGTTTTCTCAAATACAACGTATTTGTTTGCTTAAAATTGAAGTTTTAATTCCATTTTAATACCACTGGGAAAAATTATAATGGAAAGGATTAAAAGTTGGCAGGTATGGTATTTTAAATCTTTAATGACTAGTCAAAGTGCCTGTTTTTACTTAAATTTTTGACTACATTTCTAAGATGTCTGTTCTTATTACAATTTTTAACAATCTTTTAAGATACTTGACAATAAAAAAGAGTAATTCTCTTCATGATTGAAATGGAAGGAAGTTGAACTCTTGACCACATCGCTCTATCAGTCATATTAGTCCTTGAAGTTTGATGGTTTTAAGTTAATGTTACATTAAACATATTTCAAGTTCCGATAGTCTATAGTAATCCAACCTATCTTTTCAAAATTAATTTCGCTTAGAATCATTCACATAAATTACTGAATTTTTACTGCAATTAAATAAATTTAAATGTTGAATGTCAAACGTTTTGAAAAAAATATTGTAAAGAGAAAAATAGAATTATTAATCTTCAAGCTGGCCAGTGTTTTAAATATATTTAAACGTTTCATTGTATTAGTAATTTGCATATTAATTTTTTTGTAGATCATCTCTATGATTCATTGCTCTCATATGGCGTGTCGTGAATGCATTCGAGCTTACTTCACTGTCCAGATAAGGGACAGAAATATTATGGAACTTTTGTGCCCTTTCTGCAATGAACCTGACTTAACAGACGAAGACATCGCTCAAGATTATTTTAATCACTTAGATATTATGGTAAGTACTGAAACTAGTTCCTTATGCGGCGTTATATTATTTTTTATCAATAGAAGCATTAAAGGTCATTAGCGCTAGTCATTGATTGAAATATTAGTACGTTAAAATAATTTATGCAGTAGCAAAAGTTGCATCATGAAACTTCTCTTTTTAATAAATTTGTCATGGAATGATAATAAATAATAACGCAAAATAATCCTCAAACTGAAATATATGTGTTACTGTGAATAACTGAAATAAGTGGATGTTGACTTCCGATGAATGTTGACAATCACACAGTCGCTTTGGTAAATATCCAATATATATAGAGTCTAGTTAAGTGCCATTGCACAATATACATTTAACCGGTACTCCTTACATTAATATTTTTCCTAATCTATCCTTAGCATATAACAAGCTATCGAATAAATATAATATTAACAAATAAATTAATATCAAGTCGGATATAACAAATATTTCGGACATTCACAGCAAATATTTCGGTGAAAGTCGACATTCTCTTGATTTCGGTCAGTCACGGTGACGTATGCATCGAAATCTAATATCAGAATAATTATAAATTGAGAAAGCACGGAAAATAATAAAGATTAATTAAAATAGCAGAAGAAAAATGATAAAAATAAAATTATTTTTAAAAAATATTTCAAATTTTTTTTTTATGTATCTTAAAAAAAAAAAAAAAAAAAAAAAAAAAAAAAAAAAAAAAAAAAAAAAANAAGGAAAAAAGATATAACCTTTTTATCAGCTCACACGGTTATATCCACAAAAAAGAGTGCTTTCTAATCTTGTATCTATAAATATTGCGTAAATTGACATAAAATTAAACTAATTAAAATTTTAACATTTTTTTGGGGAGGGAAGTAATCTATGGAGGCACCTTCGAGTGCAAAAGGGTCAAGATTGGCATTAGAATTTGATTACTGAAACGAAAGTTATTCTTTTTTTTCCTTCTTTTTGTTTCAATTATTGTTCTTATTCGAATTCTGAGTTCAACCTGTGTATTTAACTTGTTTCTTATTTCAGTTAAAGAAATTAGTGGATGAGGAAATCCACGAGTTATTCCAAAGAAAATTAAGAGATAGAGTTTTAATGAGAGACCCTTCATTCAGGTGGTGTTCAAAGGCAAGTAGAATTCCTCGAATCGTATATATACTACCAAATAAATTTTTCTAAAAAATTCATTAATCATAAATAACCTAAAATCATGAATTTTTTCGTGATTTTAGGTATTTCTAATTGTTTTGCAGATTAGAAAAAAAGAGAAAGAAGCGGAGAAAAGATTTTAAATAATTCTCGAGATAAAAATTTTCATTAAATATATTTTTAGAAAAGTACTTCTCTAATTTCGAATCTAATAATATGGCCTTAACGTTTAAGTTACTTAAATGTAAACACTTTAACTTATCTTGAAAATTTGGTGCAATATATCGGATGTAAATACAACAGTTTTCAATCTTATTTATGTTTGAGTCCGAATGTTTTCTTATCTTATGTTGTTATTACAACTAATTCAAAACATAGATGGCAGCACTATAAGCTTAGGATTTATAAAATTTTTAGATTTCATTTTTAGAACTGCTTTGGAAATGTACTACATGCATTTCATACGTTTTTTTTTTTCTTCGTTTGAATTGTTTAAATTCATTATAGTTCTCTCTTTACAATTAAAACCTCAAACACATCACCTTCGATTTTAAATACATTAACTTAGATTTGTCACGATAATTTTGTTGTTACAAAAATAATAAAATACAATTTTATATCTTAATATTATTATTCGGTTAGAACAAATCACCCAGAAAGGCAGCGAGCTTGGCGTATTATTTTTCCTCTAAATTTTATTTTTATTTTTAAAAAGCAAACAAAGAGATGGGGGGAAACTGCTGGCATTCCTTTTTAAACCATTCAAATTCAATTTATTAAACATCATAAGTTTTTTATGCACACTTTAGCACCTTAAATTTGCAAATTTTGTTACAAGTATATTGCTTTAGTTTAAGCTGAATTTTTGACTGAGATCCGAACAAAATTCTCACGCAAAAGAAGAAAAAAATGTTCCTTGTGTAATCTCTGTCATGATGCCGTGTACAGGATAAAGCATTAAATTAAATACAAATGTCTTATGGCAAAACAAAAAAATATCTATATATTAATTTAATAAATTATTTTTTTGATAAAATAATATAATTATTTCTTTTATGTAATAATATAATTATTTTTTTATATAATAATATAATTACTTTTTTTATATAATAATATAATTATTTTTTTCATATAATAATATAATTATTTTTTTATATAATAATATAATAATATAATTATATTTTTTATATAATAATATAAATATTAAGTTTTTTTATTTTATTTCAGTGTTCGTCTGGATTTCTAGCAATGCCCAATTTAAGAATGCTTGTGTGTCCAGACTGCAATGCTGTAACATGTGCCTCTTGCAGACGACCGGTAATACAATTATTCTACAAAACGTTCTAATTCTCTTAGGGACGGGCGAGTCATTATTGCATTCGTACAGAATCAGGATCAGGAAGCAAAAAAAATACAAGCAATAGCTTAAACGTTAGGCGCGACTAATTTGATAGACTTATCTTTAACGAAAGTCAAAACTGACAAAAATATTATCAAAGTGTAATTATATAACAGCATGCATGGGAACTAAACACTGAGGGTTCCGCCGGGCACAGTAGGCCCTGGCTCTCGATGGCTGTCGTGCCACTGAGTTTAGTTTAGTTTAGTAATTATATAACATTAATTTGAATGGAGGTGAATTAATAAATCAAATTATAAATACCCCGCCCTCAAATAAGCTCTTGACGAAATAGTTTGGCAACCAGATTTTTCTTTTTTTACCTTGTTTGCCGTAATCCTGGGAGTGCATATATTGTTTTAGTGAAATTACATACATTTGCAGGCTTGTAAGCCTTTGACAAGTAGAAGGACAGATTGAGCAATTCAAAGAAGGACATCACAAAGAATACATCCATGGTTACAGTGGGAATCGAACCCGCTACCCCCACGCTTTGCACAGCAATTGGGGGGTGATACCGCTCGGCCAGGGAGGCCCCAATGCATATACATACCTACCAACTGTTCCTTTTTCTGAGAACGGACTTTCTAAGTGGTAGTAAAACAATTACCGACAAACAATCTTAATCATATAAATATTTACTTGTAATGGTGGTTAAACTCAGTTATAATTATTGTAATTGAAAAAGTTCAATGGAATAACATAAGTTTCGCTACCACTTTAAATATGAAAATTAAATCTTCTCGGAAAAAACGGAATAATTAGTAGCTTTATATGACTCACCCGTCTCGAAGAGGATAATATTGTGGGATGCTGGAACTTCAATGCTGAAAACTATGTTATTAAATACAGAAGTTCATTTAAACAATGTTTTATTTCATATTTGTAGTTATTAAATATAGAAGTTCATTTAAACAATGTTTTATTTCATATTTGTAGTTATTAAATATAGAAGTTCATTTAAACANATTTTTTCTTTTGTAATCTTAATTTTTAAATGATATTGATCACCACTATTCTTACAAAAATTAAACACATATATTACTATACGTTACTATCATGGTTGTCAACTTAAGTTTTCTCAAATACAACTTATTTTTTTGATTAAAGTTGAAATTTTAATTCCATTTCAATACCACTGGGAAAAATGATAATGTAAGGGATTAAAAGTTGGCAGGTATGAATTAGTAGCTTTATATGACTCGCCCGTCTCGAAGAGGATAATATTGAAGGATGCTGGAACTTCATTGTTGAAATCTATGTTATTAATTATAGAAGTTCATTTAAACAGTGTCTTATCTAATATTTGTAGTGGGAGAAGGAACATCAGGGAATATCTTGTGAAGCATTTGCTGCTCTGAAAGGTTCTGAAGATCTTGAGGCTCAAGCATTAGGCTTAGCAAAGCTCCTTACAGAAGATGGCATAAGTAAGTATCAAAACATATTACCAGGGCCTGATTAAGCGCCTAGGCCCAATAGGCACGGGTCTAGGGCCTACACTTTCTCGGGGCCTCAAAAATTACATTAAGTCCACAATATTACATTTTAAAAAAATACTGAAGGAAATAGTTAATCTCAAAAAAGGCATTTTTTATTTCAAATTTTCTTTATATTGTGATAACCCAAACTCGTGCAAACATTGCACTAATTAATTTCGAAAGTACAGCTGAATTTTAATTGATGCAATTTTTACAATTTTTGCATTTTTAAGCAAATGCAACGAGAATGCATATTCGCAAAGTTTCTTATAAATGATTAGTGTCAACAAGAACTTAACAAATATGTAAAGCTGTAGATGGAAGGCTGCAATCTTTAAAATTATTAAGCTAATCAGTGACTTAGCAAAAATCACTGATTTCAATTGTTTGTGGTCGCAAAACTATTTTTATTTTCATACAACAGTGTTGTGTTGTTTTATATTTTGCTTTAATAATTACTTGTTTAAACTTTATTTTAGAAAAATAATCCTCAATTGCCTGCTTTCAAAATTTTTTAGAATGTTTCTCTTGAATCATGCAGTTCAATAGATTCTTTTTATAGTTAGGACTACTCTTCAGAAACTTAATTTCAAAATATTTTGTTAGGGGTCCCGTAACTTTTTTGCTCCTTGGGCCTGAATTTGTCTTGATCGGTCCCTGCATATTACTCATATTTACATATTACTCACATATTACATATTCATCACTATAAAACATATTACTCACTCTATGAAACTTGTTTTAATACTATTCTACTATAAATATAAAGGAAAACTACAATTATTATACAAATACCGTACGAAAATTATACGATAAATTGCTTTGAAATAACTTCGCTCTCAATATAAACATGTTTTTATTTTTTCTCTAAATAAATATCAAAACTCTACGAACAGACCGATGAGAGACCGATTACTTACTTACTTTATTTTTAAAAAATTGGGCACCTGGGCCGCGCAGCGGCCCCTATCCCATACATCTAGAAATTTACATAAGTTTAAAGTGATAACATTTTGAATTTAGCAGTCGATGTGGTTGCTAATACAAAATTACAAGCACTTTGCTTGGGTAAATAAACATTTGAATATCGAAACTAAATTTACACATATAAATATAAATATAAACATAATTTGAAATATATATACATAGGTTGACATAAATTAATATAGTAAATCTAACATTTGAATATCGAATCTAAATTGACGAGAGACCGATTACTAATGAGAAGACCGATTACTAATGAGAAGATCGATTACTATGTTTTTTGTAAAATTTATAGAGTGGTAGACATTTCAAAACCAAAGCTTACAGAATTTTTGGTCATTTTATCAACATTTTAAGAGCTTCTGCCCAAAAGAGCTGTAACAAAGTGACGTTGCATATGATATTTTTTATAATTTATGTGTAGTGATGTGAAAAATAAGCTTAAATGAATAAAAAAATAGTACATTAAAGTATTAACTTAGTTACCACTGGAATAAATTTTTACAAAAATCATTGGAAGTTAGCAGCCCTGCACTATATAGGAAGGTAGACAACAGAAATTTAATACTTTCAGACTTTTGGTGGACTTCGCCAGAATGGATAAAGCTTTATGACAAAACATACATAAAAAGTGGCTTTTTATCAAAACATTTGAGTCATTCATCTTCTAATGCTTCTTCATACCCTCCAACTGCTACGGAATTTCCGTAGTTTCAGAAATCTTCTTTTCAGACGGTAGCAAAATTAATGTCTTAATATTTAAAAAAAATTAATTTTAGCGTAACTTGTCCACTATTACTTATAAAAGTGCAGGCCATATGGCTAGATTCTTAAGTTCTGATAAAAGTTTTATGAGAGATCCATTTGCTTTAAAAATTTCTACTTTGGTTCGCTACCACTAGAAAGAATTATTTTCAAAATCCTCATAAGTTGGAGGGTATGCTTCTTGCTCAACAGAAAATCGTACGTTAAAACGTTAACTTTTCTACCCCTAGAAGAAATTTACCTAGAATGTGCAAGAAGTTGGAAGCCCTGCATTTATTGCTAATCAATTTAATGCTTTTTAAGTATCTCATCAAGTTTATTATTATTATGTCGCAAATTTAAGCTACGTATGCCTCTCACTCCCCCCCTCCTTTCCTCATTTCATAAAATTCGATTTAGATGAAGGAGCAGATAGCCCTTCGACCTAGGTCATCACCACCTACATCAGAAAACCTCCACTCGGTTTCTTATTAGTAGTCTACGCAGACTATTTAAAAAGCGAAAAACTTGTGCGCATGAACCCAAATTCTATTTTAAAAGTACTTGAGAGAAATAGTGTAGTGGTTGACAAGTAAATAAAACAAACCAATTCTATTCATAAATTTTTTAAAAAAATTTAGACATATATTTGCTACCACTTTCAAATTTTCAATAGATTTTATATTAAATGATTCTTTCACTAATTGGATTACCTTCATAGTGGTCGGATCAGACTACCTACAAAAAACCGTATGGAGGCTAGGTACTCCTATGTTTAAATCGGTAAAATCGTGTATTGTTAAAACAGAGTAGTATAAAAATGCTTCAATATTTTTCTGCAACCTTTGCTGTATCTCTATTTAATGCCATTTATGTGTAAAAGCTTATACATGTTAACGATACATTTGAAATTTTCAGGTTGTCCAAGATGTCATTTTCGGTATGCTTTAGCGAAGGGTGGTTGCATGCATTTCCGATGCCTCCAATGCCAACACGATTTTTGCAGCGGATGTTCCAAACCTTTCAAAATGGGACAGGTAAAATACTTGAATCCAATAAAATATTTTTAATTAAATTTTCAAAATAAAAAAAAGAGTACAGTAATTATTTTAAGGACATATTATAACAGTTTAGGAAACAAATGAAAGTACTCTCTGGCAATCACAAAATGAACCACAGAACTAACTAAGAGCAACATAACTGACACCTCAACTCGTGATTCCCAAGTAAAAAATTTGCGCAAAACCTTTAAGAAAACCTTAAAAAAACTGTAGTGTTTTGAACTAACTGATGAACCTGTAGTTTTTGTATAACCTTTACAAAATCTGCTGGTTAGACTCATATAAAAGGAACCTTTACATAGGGAGTAACTATAATAGAGGTTTTTATTAGTCTTTTAACTGCAGATTCAATGAATGTTGTCTTATGCCACTGGTCAATACTAATAAGCCTATCTTATGGCAGAAGGGTACGCTTCTTCTTGTTTTTTCCAGTCGCGCCATAAATGGCCAAGAATTCTGCCACACACAGCTGTCTTACAGGGAGGACACATTCACACAACTTCCATCGATCCGCAAATCGTTATTTTAACCTGAAATAGATCATGATCAATCCAGCAGCCTCAGAGGTACTGATTTGTCAGGATAACTTGGAAAACTTTGTGAACCCGACAGATTTATCATACATCAGACACCATTTTGCACACTGCTTCTGCATTGTTAGTCTACAGTCAGCGGGGATCAATCTCATGACGTCTTGAACATGAGCCCAACCCCCTACCAACCAGGCTATCCCGGCCTTCAATGAAGGTTTTCAAACTTTATGAAAGGTACCATCCGGAAACACAAAGGTTTTCCTTAAAGTTTTATGTTAAGGGTTTAGTAAAGAGTTCTTTAAAATAAATTTTTTTTATTTACTCAGTAACTTTCAATTATTAATGCAGTGTTTAATTTAAAAACAGAAATTATGAAAATTGAAAATACTCTAGCAATTTTTGATGCAATATTTTTACTAAACTAGATTTATAACATAAGCATACCTGTCAACTTTAAGCTTTTGAAAACTGTGTTTTCCTACTGGTAGGGTAAGCCATTGAAATTGAGATTGCATGTTAGTGTTAACGATAACGATATAATTTAACTCATAACCATATAAAATTGAATTATGCTGCTATATTTTACATATTAAAAACAAAAATAGAGGATTAAAATTTATTTTAGAAAAATCGAAGATTTAAATTAAAGCAAATCTTAGTTAATTCATTTAATAAAAATTTAAAACTTCCATACAATCTGCTCTTATTATCAGAGCAGTAGTAAAATTGTGAATTTCTATCCTTAATTTTCCATAATTGATCGCTCCTGCATATTAGTATTATGTGCTAATCTAATGTTGTAGTTTTTTCCTTATCAGAAATGTGGAGTTTCAGAGTTTTGTGCAAAATTGGGATTACATGCTCATCACCCAAGAAATTGTCTATTCTATTTACGAGATAAAGACCCGGAAGATTTACAAAGGTTACTCCATGTAAGATATATTTTAATTTTAGCACACATGTTATGACTATTTTAAAATCTTATTTCATGGTTACAATATTATCTTGGAAAGTAATTAATAAGTTTTTGATAACTATTCTGGTGCTACTCCAAGAAGAACATATTAAACTACTTTCATTCACTACGCCAATCCGATTGTGTTGTGGTCAGGGAACTGACCAATACAGAAAGGTCTCGGGTTCGAGTCCCGGATTATTCCCGGTTGTTTTTTCATTCTCTGTACTATCTGTCCTTACTGTCTGAGTAATGTTTGCTCAATTAATATGGTACCCCTGAAGGACTGATCAACAAATCTACCCTACTCAAACCTGAATGACAAGTATCAATTATTTGGGCATCGGAAAATAAAGCAAAAAAAATTATTCTCTAACATTAGCTGAAAACATTAAAAAGAAAAAACACGCTCTATGCTAGCTGCCATCATGGGTGGGTTCAAAAATTATTGCTCGTGGATTTAGAAATTTCATGATGCAGAAGAAATCTATAAAAAATTGAAATCAACTAGCATTAATTACCTCAATTTTATTTTATTGCTTACCACAAAAAGTGCCTTGCTTTAGGATATTTTAAATTAGATTAATATTAAATTGCAATACTTTTAAAACACTGTTTTTAAAATACGGCCTAGTACGAAATAATCTGTAAGTTAATTCGTATTTTTTTAAATAGTCATATTAGCTTTATTGTTTTCCAATAAATTTTTGACGTGAAAATTTGAATTATTCCTGTAAGTGACCTGTGCTGTCTTGCATAATTATTGTCTTTTCTCCTATGCTTAATTACTAAATCTCGCACCTTAGTTTATTCTTATTATAATAATTCTTCTAGCATAATCACTTCTGTGAAAATTTCCAAAATCTCACTATAATTTAATGATCCTTGTTTATTATTGCCTATGTATAAATTGGCCTACATATAGTTGCATTATAAAATTACATAATGCTAAGAAATGTTGCCATTGCTTTCGAAAAAAAATTATTCATTGGTTATAGCACATCATAGTTTTATGGCAAAAATGTACTATTTAAAAAATACCATGTGGTATATCCAAATGTGGTTTCATCTATGGTAAAATTTTACCATACACTTTTTGCCATATACGTATGGCAAAAACTTGCCACATTTGCCATACACTTAGGAAAAATTTTTTGACATACGTTTTGCCATGTGTTTATGGCAAAAGTATATGGTAAAATGTTACCATAAGCAAAACCTCATAGGGATATCCTATGGTATTTTTTATAGCAAATCAGTGACAAATTTTCCTATGGGTCTATTACCACTACAGTTATAAAATGCAATTCTGTAGTTTAAAATCAAAATTCAATGGCACAGAGAGTATTTTTTAGAAGAAAACTAACAAGTGGCACACTAAACGTCCGAAAAAAATAAATTGCAATTGTTCGCCATCTTTGCTGGTACGTAAGATAATGAGAAGTGACAGAATTCAAATTATATAATTATGCTTTCAAAACAATGTAAAAGCTTTAACAACTTAAACTCGCCAGACAGAGAGTTAATTTTTGCTATTTTTCAAAAGCAGCAAGAACGCCGTACTACGTCGCTTCAAGAGTGGAGATTTTGATATTCATTCGCGCTTGGAGCTTAGAATCCACTTATCGTGCACTTAAATGCAAACAGGCTCTCTCCATAGGGATTACGGTTTTTCTTAACTTGCAACAGAGTTTAGTTGTAGTTTTCCTAAAAAATATGAAACACTTTTTTTTAGCTTAGCGATGTGGAATACGATACGGAACCCCCTGAAGGCATGGAGTCAAATAAAACATGCCAAGTCATGGAACAAAAAGAAACTGCAGATGGCATGGTTGATGACTATTGCGGCAAAGAGGTTGAAGCGGGCTATGCTGGTCTATGCAGGTAACTGTACAAAACTATTCCGTAATTTCCAAACATTTTTGCTCTAGTATGCATTATAAAGTGTTCAGGGTGTATTGTCTGTTTTTTTATCCTGTTTTTTAGTACTAAAATATCAACATAATAAAAGAAATTGTATTGCTGTATACATACAAAATATGATATTATTTATATTCACTGAATAAAAAAGAAATTATTTCCATTTGCGAAACTCAGCACTCTAATGGATTATCAAAGTTTCATTCACATTCGTTTGAAACAATCTCGTCTCAGAATTTTAAGTTCCTTTTACGCTCTAAGTGTTAGTCCCAGTTTTCTTCGAACTTAAAGCTTCTGACTTTCCTGCATTAAAAGACCGATTTTTCCTACGTTATTCACCAGCCACAAAGATTTTGAGGTTTTTGCGAAAAATGATTATCAGCTAATAAAAGCCGACATTTAGTTTTTTTTATAAAATTTTTATTATGACAATAGACTTCGCTAATATATGTTTAAGCGAGGGAAGACTGGAAAAATAAATAAAATTCAGAAGCACCCCTATTGAGACAAGCGTTATTCAAAATCAGAACCAATTTGATTAGCAGAGGAAGTTTGATGGTGTTTATAAACATCTTCAACTTTTTAATGTTTTTAATTTGGAAAGAAAAAAGGTTTGGAAATTAAAGCCATCTCAGCATTGAGTTTTCAAATATTCATTTGAAAATTTTATACCAATTTTTTTTAGTTTTTTCAAGACGCAAGTCAGCTTATTCTAAAGAACAGTGATTGGCAAATTCTGCTCCAAAACCTCTTTTGCCTGCCCTAAATCTAAATAAAAGCTGCTCTTGAATTGCAGAAGTATCACACGTATCTGACGAGCCACAGTTTATTGACCACTGATACTTATAATACCAAGTACTTGTAATGGTATTACACTGCTGTAGCTTTACAGGGCTTAATTCTATCATGCATAGGCACATGTGGCTCAAATTTCATTTAATACACGTGGATGCACATATGGATCGTTTTGTAAGGCTGTAATTAATGTTACCGAATAACAGGAAGAGAGATATCGCCAATTCTATAATCCCCTGAAAAACTATTACATAGTGTAAGAAGTCCAAACGAAGATGGGGTATACTTTAGGTTAGGTCTGAATAAAGAAACACTATGTAAATAAAGCACACAAAAATAACTTTACGTATTTGTGCTTTATTCTCGTTGTTTTGCTTTATTCATAGTAGCATACAAAGTGTTCCCAAACATTGCTATTAATTTATAACTTTACATAACTTCTCACAAATGAAGCAAAAAAAATACAGATGTTACCAACTTTCTACACTTTTTGTTAAAATTTATTCCAGCTGTAGCTATGTTTATGTTTCATGCATTATTTTTTTAATTCTTTTAAGCTTAATTTCCACTCTACTACTTAAAAGTACTCATGCAACGCTACTTTGTTCCAGTTCATTCGTGGTAAAGCTTTTAAAATGTTCGCAAACTTACCAAAAATTCTGAATGCTTTGATTTTTAAAAGTCTACCACTCTCTAAAATATTTTGCAAAAAGCGTAAAAGTTGGCAGGCCTGCTTACATTTAATCTCAATTTCATTGACTTTATCCTACAACTAATAATACACCTCATTGAAAAGTGTAAAAAGTTGGCAGGTATAAAGACTATTTCACGATAGAAATTACAAATTATTGTTTATTAATTATAGACTTCATTACGTTGAATATCTGGGCCAGTTAGTGAATAAGCACATGGTAGATCCTATTCAGATCTTCGAGAAAGATGACTTGGAGCTTGTCCTAAGAAGAGCAAATGTCAGGCTTCCAGCCAGGAAATACAGAGAAACAGATGACCAATACAGGGAAAGACTTGTCCAAGTAAGTAACATCAATACAGTAGAAACGACATAATCAATTAAATATCATAACACACTATGTTAGAGTTAAGAAAGTATATTGGTATTCAAAAGGTTTTCTCATTTTGGAGTTAATAAATTTATTTAACACGTTCACGCCGGGAAAAGTGAAAATACTGGTAGAAGAACTATTTCAATATTAGATAATATTCGGGAGGAGTTAATCTATTCTCAACAATAACAATTCACTGTAATTAGAATTTAAAGATTTTTGTACAAACTAGTAATTTTAACAGTTAGATATTAAATTGTGTAGACGAATGCTTAAAATCTTAAGTTTTATTATTTTTTTTAAATATATCGCTTCAAAAATTCTGCTTGATTTCACTACCGCTGAAACAAATAATTTGTCTATTACGGAGAATCAGTCGTAGTTGAAGTCTATGATGATGTAAAAATTAGCATACTTAATAATACGAAATTTTCCAAGACTTATTAAGTAAATTCAGGTCATTCAGACCTCCCTCAAATATTTTTTATAGTATAAAGGGTTGCCATATTTCTCTATTTTTTACATAAATTTATTCTACGGGTAGCTAAGTTTATGTTTTAATGTTTTATTTTTAACTCTTTTAAACGTATTTTCCTCACCATTATATATAAATTGATTTTAGATTTCATATGATATGCCACTTTGTTCCAGCTCTCTCATGGTAAGGCTTTTATAGTATTGATAAAATTGTCAAAGATTCTGAAAGCTTTGGTTTTCAAATGTCTGCCACTGTATAAAATAATTTACAAAGCGCATAGTAGTTGGCAAGATTGAGTATAGGTCAACTTATCATCGAAGTAGTGGAAACTCTCATGGTTGAGCAACCTCTGCAATTATCTTCCTGGTACTTTTTCATTCAACATAATTCTTTATTTGTTCTTTTGTAATCAGTTTATTGTGGTGAAGCTATTAAAATGTTTCTAAAATTATCAAAAATTCCGAAAGCCATCAATCTGACATGTTTACCAAACTGTAAAATCTCTTGCAATAAGCGTAGTAGTTGGCTGGCATGATCATTAATCTTTTTAACTTCGATGTCATCTCTGAATAAACATTTAAAATCACCACTCTAAAACTAATTTTTTTAACATAATTACTCTTTAAGTAAAAATGTATCGATAGTATTGCTGCGCGGCCCAGGCACCCAATTTTGGATTAATAAAGTAAGTAAAGTAAGTATCGATAGTATTTTCAATAGTAAAAAGAAAGGTAGAACTATTCCTGATATTCTCCTCTATAAGCAGATCATTAAATCCACAAAGAGTGCAAAATATCTAGGAGTCACTATCACCTCTAATTTAAGTTGGAAACAACACATAAATAACATTATTAAAGAAGCGAATGGTGCCTATTGGGCCCTCAACTCCATATTAAACTCGAAGTCATCTTTAGACTTAAAATGCNATATATTTGGCTGGTGGATTCTGAGATAGAAAAGTGAAAAATTCATGAATATAATCTGTTTCATTGAAATACTTCGAAAAAGTTTTTTTTCTTCCGTTTGTTGTGATAGTAATTTATAATAAGAAAGATTTCTTGTGAGTTCAGAAGAAAGGTTGATAAGAATTCTTCTGTTGGATCTGAAAATTTCTTCTGTTCTCGTATCGCTCTTGAATAGGCTTCTCAACAATAAAAAAGTGGTTCAATTATAAACATAACAAAATATAATTACGTCTGTCTGAAAGTTCTGTGCGTGAAAAAACAAGTCTTTTCAAATAAACAAAAGGAGCCTTTATTCACATTATAATAAATTACACAATTTTTTCTTATATTTTCTAATGCATTAGGTTTTTGAACGTTATTATGCATATTTCGTCGTCGCTGTTTTCAAATTCGATATCGGTTTCACTCTACAAGCTACAGTTTATATGCAATTTAATAATATATTTCTATGCAGAATTTTTTTAAATTTAATTTGAGTGACTACTACGTTTGTTCGTAATGGAAAAAATTATCTATATGATTTTTTCCATTACAAACAGATATTATTAATTCGTAGAAACCATTCAACACACTGAAATCGTGTTCCTTGCACAACATATACAAAGACGCCCCAGGCGAATAAAATGTGAAAAGTGGTAGAAAGTGGTAAAATTTATTTATTCATTATCCTTTTAATTATTCAATAACACTATGACTTACATATCAACTTGTTCATATTTAAAGGAAAATCATTCTCGGAATCCAGTTTCGATAGTAAACTAGAAATGACAACTGCTCCGCTTTCTGCCAAATTCTAATAAATTGGTAGCGATTTGAAGAGTGAAACATGTGGAATTAGAATAATTACGCTCACTCTTTAAAAGTGTTCCCACGACATAACAATAATAATGTTGTATTTCTTATAATATTTTAAATATTTTTTAAATTGCAAGAAATGAAAAAAAAACTAAGCTAAAAATAACTTTAATTTCGATATTACTAGAATTTTTCTTTTTTTTTTTTTGACAAAGCGAAGAAATTTAGCATTTCTAATAATTCAAAAAAAATATGCTATAAAAATTTGCAAATTTAAATATTTTTAACTGAAATTCTAAATTTTAATTGTCACCTCTTTTTGCAATTTCATTCATCCGTGGCAAACCTGGATATGCATACTTTTATTTTTATATTTAAAAAAATCACATCTAGTAATAAATAATAATTTATTACTGGCTTATAATTAGCATATATTGCGTAAAGTGCTTAGTTTTAACTATATCTTGTTTGTATCTCGTTGTCGTTGCAAAAAAAAGAAGAAAAAAAAAATTATAATTACCATATGAACTATTGATCGTAATTTGGCCTAAGAACAGATTTTAATGATTCAAGGGCCGAAGCTCAAATATTCATTAGTTAATTGCATTAATCATTTGCACTAGTTAATTAGTGCAGCACACAGTATTTTAATAACAAAATCACTCATATAATCGCTCACTTTTTAAATATTTTTTTTCCAACAGATTCGAATTCTGTCGAAATGATTTCAATAGTTTGGACAGGCAAGCGATCAAAACTTTAGTTCTCTTAATTTTGATTTCACTTTTTGCGTCTTTCGCAATATCTCGTGGAATTTTCAAGCTCATCGAAACATTTTATACACAGTTATAAAATTCTTTTATCCAAGTATCTATGCAAAAAATAGCTTTGAATAATTATTTATTATTATTTTTGTGAATACGTTTTTGAAATATTTGAATTTTAAGGCATATAAATTATTAAATTATTTTAAGGAATGTATTTTTTTAAATATTTGACAATAAGTTAAGCTGGAAACTGCATATAGAAGGTGTGATTGAAAAGGTTAAAAAACGTCTGCACATTCTCAAACGCTTGGTCGAATATCTTTGGGGATGTGCCCGTACCACACTGGTAAATACCTACAAAGCATTCATATTGCCTGTTATCACTTATTGTTGCGAAATTCTCGTTACATCTCCAAATAACTTTATCTAAAAACTCGATTTATTGCAAAACCAGGCCCTCAGGCTGATTGTCGGTAGTGCAGACAACTATTGATTCGTTGTTACTCCTAACACACGACCAATAAGATCGATTATAGAAGAGAAATCTCTTATACTTTACGAAAAGTTAATTAGAACCAACGTACCTTTTTGGAACTGCTATCAAAATGTACCGAGACAACTAAAGACTCAAAATGGTTTCTTGCAGAAAGTTCTAGAATTAAGAGCAGAGCTAGAGCTTGATGATGAAATTATCCATGGTTTTTTAGAAATCCCTAACCCTGTTAATAACGTGGAGATATCTACCAGATTGGATCTCAAACAGCCACTTCTTAAAAGCCTCTAAGCAGCTTAAAGATTCTTGCTCTTGAGACCATCCATACCCTTTATCCCGAGTCCAAGTGGCTGCATGTTTACACAAGTGGTGCCTTAACTGACCTTTCATCAAATGTTGGCGCGGGTGTATATTCCTCTATCTTTTCCTTTTATGTGCCTGTTGGGAAACGTAAAACCGCCTTTGACGGAGAGGTAACAGCGATCAATGTGGGACTGACGCAGCTCATTCCAAGACACCTCTACAAAAAGGTTGTTATTCTCTCGGACTCCAAAGCTGCCATAGAGGTCATCGCATCTAAGGAAATGCCCATATCAAAGAATACATACAAGATTGTCGGGCCCTCTTGGAGAAACTGAAGATCGATGGTCGTCAAGTTACTCTACAATGGATCCCAGGACATTGCGATATCTACAGCAATGAACAAGCTGTTGGCAAAAAAGGCACAAAAATAATCCAACAACCAAATTCCAATAGATCATTTCATTCCACGAAAATCTACATTAAAAATTAAATGAGGAAAAATTTGAAAGTGTCCCTTTCTTCCGGTATATCCCTGAAAAGTTGGGGGAACATTTTAGACCGGGGCATTTCAGACAGACTCCGTGAAAAGGCTGTGGCAGAATTTAGACTTGCGGTGGGTCATGACTGTCTTGCACACCACCTCCACCGCATTGGTATTTTTACGAGCCCGAATTGCCCACTCTGCAGGAAATTCGAAGTAACGGATAGGAAGTACTTGATGGAATGTTCGGCTGTACATGGAGACTTCGAAGTGAACAGGTATTGGAGTGTTAGGCATCTGCTAATGAGTCATTGGCTTCTTTCTCTTATCTATGTTTATTCTTCTTGTTAAGAGTTTGTCAATCTCTGCCATTGGAAATAATAAAAACATAAAAAAAATTTAAATATATGAAATAAAATATTCAGCTTCCTTTTACTTGAGAGATGTTGAAAAATAAACAATATTCATTAAGGTTGTTCAAAATTTTGAAACTACCGTTTCAGAAGATGGATTATATTTAATAAATAATTTTAAATGTTGACGTTGATTCCTAATGAAATTAAAATGTCAGCTTTATACAAGTATCTACTAGCAATAAATTTGACTGGTGGATACTGAGAAAGTAAAAGAGAAAAATTCAATGATATCCTTCAAATAAGTTATTTATTCTTTAACCCTTTCGCGCCGA